TTAAGAAAACTAAGAAATAAGCTTTTTGGCATACAAAAGAAAATAATGATATAAACTTGTAAACAAGTAATAATGTGATCATATATAAATTTAGTTTTACTATTTCGTCATTTTATATAACTTCATTGTTTTAAATTTATAGCACATTATGTTTAGTTTCTTGATATTTTTATTCTTGTCCCTACAACCATTATACAAAAAAAAAACCCTAAGTAATAAACTTTGGGATTAACATTTCTCATGTTGTATGAGATAATTTTATCTTTACATACACATAAAAATATGAGGGGCTCATATTTTATTTTTCTCTCTCTTTTCTTGTTGCGAAATCGGCAAGTATACCGTTCGTTTCAAGTAATAAAAGTGATAAATAGGATATCGTTCCCTCGAGGATTAATGCACCAATGACTAATTTTAACTATTCCCTTTTTAATTGGAAAATAAAATTTGTTTGATTGTGAAAGTGATTGATTGTTGTAATTTTAAAAACAGAATTTTAAAAAAATACTATTTAAAAGCATGCAAGAATGTCAAGAATATCAAGAAAATATGAGAGTTATGAAAAATTGTAAAAGAACTGTAGCCAGGATGTACTTCACCTCTGATCCTCCCTTATATTCGTATATTGTATTTTATAATTAACTAATTTGTTAGCTCAGACAATTCATTATTTTCCTATAAAATAGTTGAACCCTAATGTCTTAGTGATTTCAACCCTTTAATCCAATAAGAATCCTAGTGTCCTAGTAATTCCTCTTGAACTAAGCATTAAACAAATGAATTATAAGTCTGCAATCTATGTAAGCTTATGTATAGATCATACACGGATTGTTATTCTACCCTTGTCTAGATTAAAATCCCAATATGTCTATTGTGAGCCCTAATCCTTAAAACCTTATAATAGAGCGATTAATTCTATCAAGGATATGAAAAAATTAACACAGTTAGAATACAACTAACTAACTAATTAAATTATAAAAATAATATTGAAAATATAAAGGATTCACATTGGGTCCATGATCCCAACTACAAAAAGAAAACTAGCGAGACATATCTGGCTTTAACAAATCAAAATAGTAAAAAGAATTCATAACAAAGAAAGAAAAGAAAAGATGAAGAAGAAAGATCAATGGTCTTCAATCTTCAAGATCTCCAGAATCCTGATCTCCAGCGTGAGTCTCCTCCTCTGAATATTGTTGCCTCTGTCAAATTCTTGAGTTTCCAAGAGATGCCTTTTTATAGGGATGAAAACTATATCTTTTAATTTTTCATCATATCTTCAATGGAATCTTCACTACAATCTCTAATCATATCTTTGATTCAATCCTTCAAATCTTTCCCTTTTTATTTAATGAAAAACTTTCCTTAAAAATATTCAAAGGAAGATTTGATAAAATCTTCAATGATTCAGAAATCCAAAGCAATCTACTTGATATCTCCAATTTTTTTCTTTATTGAGTTGAAATTACTGTAAAATATAAGAAATTTTATGAGAATATTATTGAAAATAAAATAAAAATTTAATTATAATTCTCATAACTTTAATTACTTTTAAATCAATTTCATGCTCATATTGACCCTTAATACATAGTAAATTGGAGACTCATCATCTCTTCATATGGCCTCACATGGGTCTCACACACTTTATGTGAATATAGCAGATAAAAGTATCTCTTATAATATGAGAAACATTAATCCCATAAACTTTTGGTAAATAAAATAAAAATTTGAGTAAAGTTATTGGATAGTACATAAACTTATATTTAACTTTAAAAAATTTATTATTATTGAACATAACCAAACTTTCAATGTAAATTTGACTATTTAATAATTAAGAAGTGACATCATTTCAAATGAGACATGTTATTCTTATAAGAATAAGAAATCTTACCCCTAATCTTAATGATTGGTTTGCTTAAATTTAATGGTTCATATATTTAATAAACCAGAGTCGTTAAATTTAAAACAAATACAATTTTAGAGTTTGAAAGGAGGAGCTTTTCCGTAAATTAGCCAAATTAATTAATATAAACCTAATACATTGATGCACTTATAGTTGGCCCATTACACATGACCTAACCATTGATTCAAGAAGCTCATAGTCAACCAGAATTGTGGCACAATAAGTATGACTCAATTGTTGAAATAAGCAGTAATTTGAAATATAATAAATTTCGATCAAATCTAAGTCCAAATAAAGCCGCAGATATGATTGTGATTCATTTGAAAAGAAAAATAAAGCAACACATTTGATATGATTTGAGATATAAGATTTGAGACGTGTTTTGAATGATTTAATTATAATTATTTATTTGTTTATTTTAAAAGTTAATTATTGTTATATTTATTTTAGGGAGTTTTCTTATTTATGCGATTTTAGGTTTTGAATTTTGAATTTCGAATCAATTTGTAATTAGCCTATAAAAAGGTGTTTAAGACTCTTATTCCAAGAGTTAAATTTTGTTATTTTGTTAATACAAATTGAGAACTGGAGGGGTTACTCTTTTATGAAAATTTTAACTTTTGTTTAGTCACTTTTTTTTATGTGCTTTCGGCATCATTTGGTATCAGAACATTAGGTTGCATTCAACTAATGGCTGAACAGAATCATGGAGGTCGTCGATGGCAGAGTCGTGAAGGCAAGGGACGTGGATTCGTTCCTAAAGAAGATAGACAATTGCGTTAAACAGACCCGAGTGACATAGAAAATGAAGAGCTCGGAAGATGGATCCAGGATTAGCAAAGCTTGAGTAAGTGTGGATAAGAAAATCCAAGTTTTGGAGCGACTACTGGTGTGGGCGCAGAGAAAGAGAATTCAAGATTTGGAGCAACGACTCGTGTGGGTGCATACCGAGAAAATCCAAATTTTGAAGCGAACTCTTGTGGAGGCGCAGAGCATGAAAATCCAACATTTGGAGCGGCGACTTGCATGGATAAAGTTAGGCATTCAATCTGAAGAGAATTAGAGGAAGTATTTGATGACGAAAAGAAGGACGTTAATCCCTTGGGGTGTTTAAGACCCTTATTTATTCTTATAAGTTAAGGACGAAAAGAAGGACGTTTATTTATTCTTATAAGTTAATTACTGTTATATTTATTTTATGAAGTTTTCTTATTTTTAGGATTTTAGATTTTGAATTTTGGATCAATTTGTAGTTAGCTATAAAAGGGTGTTTAAGACCCTTATTCCAGGAGTTGAATTTTGTTAGTTTGTTAATAGAAATTGAGAAACCGAGAATTACTCTTTTATGAAAATCCTAACTTTCTGTTTAGTCACTTTTTCTATGCGCTTTCATCATCAACATCTTTATATGTTTTTGGGGCTTTATATCTCTCCTTTAACAAGAGAGACTTTTTTTCTCCAGAAGAGATACAAAAACAATGGGACCCACTAGAGTAAAAAAAGAAGGATACCACAACTTTTGATGGTGAGTGCAGAAGAAAAATTCCTTCTCTAGTAACAGTAGACTATATTTTCCCATGTTTTTAATATCAAGACTAAATTTAGTATAATGTATGCATAATATAACAAAAGGAAATATGTTGTCCACGTTAGATTAGATAATTTTAGTTATCTTATATAATATACAAAAAGTAGATGAGACTCATTTTTTCTTTCTCTTTCTTTCTTAGGGGTCTCATCTACTTCTTTGTTTATTACATGAGATAAATTATTTCATGTATGATACAATATGAAAAATATATTCTCCTATAACAAAGTAACAAAAGAAGGAACATTCATTTCACATGATTTTTCAAAAAAAAAAATTTGTACATGAAAGATGCTAGAGCCCCATTTTTCAATCTCACATGATTCCAAACTCGCATTGTGCCTCTGCCTAATACGAGTGGGAAGGGTTGAATATCAAGGAGTTCATGAAATTGAGAAGAATTTCGGTGGTTCCAGATCACCATTAATTCAGTGATTCAGACCAATCAAAATCAGATAATTATTGAGAGAAGACAGGAAAGAGGAAAGGGGAGAAATGAAAAAAAAAAAATTATCCAAATATCACCCCTAAATAAAAAGATCACATGGAACTTAAGGTGTGTCTGGTACAAATTTTTGTTGAAGATACCAAATGGAAGTGGTATTTTTATATGTCCATGTTTGGTACCAGGTTTTAAAAAAAAAATTCTAGGAAAGTTATAAAATTATTTGCCTAGTATTTTGTTTTTTGTGTGTAAAAAACACTCTTGAATAAAATCACCTACAAGGTGCTATCTGCTTATAGCTAGGGAAATTCAAGAAGGACTGCAAGTAAGTAGACCAAAATGACTCTGATGTTGGGAAAAACTATTCAGCAAACTAAAATCATATTTTACCATTTTATTTTACTCGAGAGTTGTTGTAGTAATTTAATCATATTTTTTTATTTATATTTTACTTTCAACTAAACATAGATTTAATAAACTAAAATCAATTTTTTTGATAATATTTCTGCCTATCAAATAACTTTTTTAAAAACTTTCTCACCAAATTCATTCTTTACTATATTTTTAGTAATTATATTGCTCAAATAAAAAAAAATTCTCCTCTTACAAATATCCATCTTGGAGCACCAAGAAATCTTGCCATGAAATCGCGAATAAAAAAGATGATGTAAAAGTGAGTGATGATAATATATGAAAATAAAAACGGGATAAGAAAAATCCAAAAGCGTGGTGTTCACCATCTAATGTTGTCGGAAGGCATAATCGAGTGCTGTAGATCGTCACACATTTCGGACTTGCATTGGTACAATATCACATCAAACGACTCAACTCGCTCACCATTGGTCCACGTTCCTAGAATTCATTGGTTCCTTATGCTTTTTCATTTTTTTTTTTTCACAACAATGAGTCACTCAGCCTCTCCTTAAATGCAGGCGGCACTAGACACTTGTCGACTCCACCATCGCTACGACACGACACTCTCCCCAAGTCTAACGTTGATGAACACAAGAGTAACCCAAAACACTAACCTAAGGTAATTCGCTCCTTTCACTCTCACCGCCCTTTTTATTCGTCTCCATATTTATTTCTGTACCTTATGCTGGATTTTTTATCATTCACTTTCGTTTTACTATTTCTGGTTGGTTTGGTTGGGTTTATTTATTTATTTTCATTTTTTTGTATTTTCTGAAAACTAAGTTGCATTTAATTATGTGGAATTGTTTATCTTCCTTCTTCTGAACGAACTATTTACAAGCCTTTAGAGTTTTCCGATGGTTGAGAAATTGAGGAATCGAATTCCGCATAGCTGCGACTCATGGTTTTTTCCGTATGTGAAAGGTGTGTGGAAGAATGGAGTTTCCGTAATTGACTTTGAAATTTGCTATATAGTAATAATATAAATAAATAATAAAAAAAAAAACAAGTTTGGGGTGGTGACGCATCGGAAAGATTTTTCAATTGAAGTGATTTTACTCGAAAAAGCAAGTTGGGTTTTGTTAAACTTGTAAAAGGGTGTCGGTATCTCGGAGAAATGAGTTGACTTTTTGTTAAGAGCATGTATAGATTAAGTTCCAGCTACATCAGATTTTAGCTTACAAGCTCTGGGACCAACTTAATCTAAGTTACCAAACTTGTACAGATAATTTTCATTTTAGTACGTACTTTTGGGCTATGGGTGAATCGTGGATCTGATGCAGCACAAAATACTAATACAACAGACAGCAGAGGTTTTGATCTGACTTGTCACTAATGGGGTATCATGGTTGGCTTTACCATTCGCACTGCTTTGCATTCTTGTGGTTGCGGATGGGATTGTTCATGAAGTGTTTTGGAACTGATATGCCAAGCTATTGTTCAGTCTTTACTATATTGGTTCATATTTATCTTTTTCCCTCAAATGTTGTAACAGTGTTGTACCCCCGATAATTTGTTTGTTCTTGTACTACTATTTTTTTTTAGAGGCTTATAAATTTTCCTATCTATTAAGAGAATATAAGAGTGAAGCCTCTATTTTAATGTATACATGCCTTTTTTGTTGTATTTCAGTTATATATATATATATTGACTACGGATTTATGTAGTTTGGGGCGGGGTATAATTTCAACGGTTTAATTATATGCTCAATTAGCTTTATCAATTAATTATTTTTCCATGTTGTGAATAGTTGGATCTGAATAAAGGGAAACCATTCCAAAGCACGCTGACTGAAAATACCACATGATGTACTTCAGCATGATTGATACGTAAGACATAGTTTGCTTAAGTACAGTTCTCACGTGTGCTTGAAGTCTTTGAAAGTGGGGCCAAGTATGAACTTTAGGAACTACGTTGATAACTCTACTTGGGATGTCATGGGTGGGAAACCACAGGCAAATGTTAATCTGGTGAGACAGCCCTCAATATACTCCCTGACTTTTGATGAGTTCCAGAACACCATGGGTGGGATTGGAAAGGATTTTGGATCTATGAACATGGATGAACTCTTGAAGAACATATGGACAGCTGAAGAGACTCAGGCCTTGGCATCTTCAGCTGGTGGAGAAGAAAGTGGTCATAACCCAAGTGGTAATTTGCAAAGACAAGGTTCTTTAACATTGCCAAGGACTCTTAGTCAGAAAACAGTTGATGAGGTATGGAGGGATTTGATCAAAGACACTGGTGGATCTAGAGATGGGAGTGGCAATGGTGGTTCATCTATGCCTCAAAGGCAACCAACATTAGGAGAAATGACTTTGGAGGATTTTTTGGTGAGAGCTGGGGTTGTGAGAGAAGATATGACTGAACAAATTGGAAGACCAACAAATAATAATGGATGGTTTGGTGACTTTTCTAGATCAAACAATAACACTGATCTACTTATTGGGTTTCAACAACCAAATCGAAGTAATGGGAATTTGGGTAACAGGATGGTGGATGGCAATAACTTAGTTCCTAAACACCCTCCTCCTTTATCATTAAACTCAAACCACTCTCAGCCACAAACACAACAGCACCAGCAGCAGCCACTGCTTTTCCCAAAACCAACAAATGTAGCTTTTGCTTCTCCTATGCATTTGTTAAACAATGCTCAGCTTGCTAGCCCTGGAAGAAGGGGAGGGATGATTGGAGTTCCGGAGCATTCAATGAATGGTACATTAACAGGTGTTGGAATGGTAGGTTTATCCACAGCCAATGTCACAGCTCCAAATGGTTCTCCAGCAAATAAAATATCAGAGGATGTTATTACAAAAAGTAGCGTAGATACTTCTTCACTATCACCAGTTCCTTATGTAATCAACAGGGGAAGGAAGTGCAGTGCTGTAGAGAAAGTCGTTGAGAGGAGACAAAGGAGAATGATAAAAAATAGAGAATCAGCTGCGAGGTCACGGGCTCGCAAGCAGGTTAGCCTTCCAATTTGCCATTAGGCATTCTTGTCATAAAAGTTTTGATAATGTTCATTTATTATCATTCTTCAATACAAATTGTGCATATAAGAAAGAATTAAAATACAGTAAATAAGTTTTTTTCCCATATAATAAGATGTCCTTTTATTGTCTCTCTTTTTTCAATATGATTTCTTGTACTGTTCCATAATGCACATAACTATTAAATTCTCTTTCTTTTGAATGGCAGGCCTACACTTTCGAACTAGAGGCTGAAGTTGCAAAACTTAAGGAAGTAAACCAAGAATTACAGAGAAAACAGGTATTTTGTCACTATGCTCTATATATTCTCATCATTAATTTGTTAACTGTGGTTTGTTTTGGCAGTCTCTGACTACATTTGGTTTGATACAGGCAGAAATTATGGAAACGCAGAAAAATAAGGTATAATATGTTTTGCATATGATTCTGCCTATCTTCTCTAGATCAGCTCAGTATTTATGAGCGAATGAAATTTTGTTTCCTTTTCTCTCTATTTTCTTTATGAGGTAAACTAAAATGGGGGGAGAGTTCTTGTTGGAAAGATATGAATACAATTCCTTGATAATTTATACTTTAGTTGAAGCCCAAATAAACTTTTTTTTTTTTTTTCATTTATTTTGGCAGGATTCGGACTCTGTGTCCCGGCCATGGGGAAATAAAAGAAGATGCTTGAGAAGGACACTTACAGGTCCCTGGTAGGGATTAGACTGTGTTAGTTGTTCTTTGTCTCTAAGTGACAGCTATACGAAGGTAGCCATTGTTATATCATAAGAACTGAAGTATGTATTTGAGGTAATTGCTGTCCAACATTATATCGGGTGGTAGCTTTTGTGTATATGAACTAGGAACGTTGAGTTGTACATTAAACTTGCATCTTGTATAATAAACTAATATATTTGCTTGAATGACATTTTCTTTTTTGTTGTAGGATGAAAAGACAAGCCTATTGGATTGTCTTAGTTTCTAACCTTTTTTGTCGAATTTAAACTATAGTCATCATAGGATAAAATTAATTAAATGCGGGGATTTGGTTTATTTGGTCGGTCTTCTTCTCATAACAACTGTGTGACTTCGATTTGAATTTGAGAATCTCTCATTAATAAGATAGACTTTCTATTGCAAGATATACCAAACCCAAAATGGAATCCCTAAAATTTCTTTCATTCATTTCCGTTTCGTGATAGTTCGAAATAAAGTATTCTCACATTGCTCATATTCTTCTCTCCTATCCTCTTTTCCACCGATCAACTAAAAGTTGGCTTCCTAGTGGATGGAGAGCAAGCGAAGGATTTTTACTACTAGGCACCATTTTTATTTGGTACAATCATTCGGTTGTCATCGCCTAAGCTTACAATACTAATTTTTTTTCATCTACGATAAGCATAAATATGAATAACTAAGTTGTAGCCAAAAAGCCTCTCTTAAAAGCAAAGTTCTGATCTTATACGAGGGGAAGAAATCGGTGAACAGTGTCAGTGTGCTTTAAGTTTCAACTATGAATTATACTTCTTAAAAAGAATACATTAGAATGTTCAATCTGTTTTAACTTAGTAATTCACTCTTCGGTACACATTGCGAAAGCCAACAAGTTCCCCTCTCAGTCAATGCCAATGGCCTTCCCTGATCAACATCCCCACGAGATATGAGACTCAGAGGACATGGTGATTACTATTTGCTACCATCCAAATATGCAAATGGCCCAAAAGGGGACAACAACTGATACCGACTGCCAAGGAAATCAAGCTTGGGTTATGATGGTAGATTTTGCCCACGAGATATTGAAATATTGACAACAGAGCTGGGTGCAAGTTGATAAAAAATTTGCCTGCAAAAACTGCAGCTTAGCTTATCATAATATGGAGCTGTTTGCAAGGCATGGATTGGGAAAATGTACATAAACTTCTCATCTCTTAGACTAGCTATAACTTTTTTCCCCACCTACAAGTACTTCAAACCACATACTCTAATTCCTAGGATACTCAAAAACAAGGCCTTCTGCTACACTTCTTGCTCTTCCATTACCAAATAGCTTGCTCACAATAGCCAATGCAAAATCTGTTACAGTGGCAAGTCCCTCACCAGTGATCAGTTTACCATCAATAACAACTTTGGCACCATTTATTGCTTCGTCTTTAGCCTTGTCCAAGACAGGGGGATGAGCTGTGGCTCTCTTGTCCTGTAACAAGCTAGAGATTTCAGTAAGGCTTTACTTAAGAATTGGATCAGGAAGCAGAACAACAAGAGTAGGGTGTCAAATACCTTTAGTAAACCTTGTCTATGTAGAATGGCAAGTGACGAGCAGACAGCCCCATACGCTCTTCCAGCTGAATTTTGTTCTTTGAGAAGCTTCTTTAGAATTTTAGATTTGCTTAGCCTTTGGGCTCCAGCAGTTCCTCCCTAACAATTCATGAGAAACTCAGCCACAATAAATTATAGATGAGACAAAAACAAAGAATCGTCTGATTCAGCAGATAATGACTATCATAGCTAAACAGATTTAGTCCATTACAACTGCAATGGAAAAGACTACAATTTGAAGGACCCCAGAAAGAAAATGCTACTAGATGAGAGTGTGACTACTCATTTTCATCCTATGTGCCATGCGAAGATTGTTTATGATTTTTTCTTAGAGGAGGGTGGGGCTGGGGGAAGGTAAAAAGGGCATATAAAATCTTATATAGTATTTGATTTGATTTATAAACGAAAACCTTTAAAGTTTTAAACAGGGATCGATTTGATTTTGAAATCCTTTTAAGCTCTGCATATTTAGAAATCACTCAAATTTGGTCGAATTTGAGTGGATTTTATTTGATAAGAAAGAGTACTAAAACAAAATAAATTTCGTTCGTTTTTAAGGTGTTCCAAACATAAATATTAATTTACAAATCAATTCAAATCCTATTTTTTCCAATAAGTTCCAAACATGAGAATTGATTTCTACATCAAATCAAATTTTATTGATTCAAAATACAACCATAAAGACTTGTGGGTCTACTGTACCACCCCAAAAAAATGCAGCACCTTATTTATTTTCAGAAATTTATCTTACCGGAAGAATAATCAAATCATGTGCTAACTCTTGAGCATCACTAATTAATATATCAGCAACAATTTTGGTTCCTTGAGAAGCCAAAACTTCAAGAGTTTTTTCAACAGAAGCAACAATGACATTAGCTTTAGCTCGCCTTAGAATATCTATCACAGTCACTGCTTCAATCTCTTCAGAACCATGTGCAATTGGTATTAGAACCTGGGCATCATAACATACATGTAAGATTCTTGATGCAGAAGGATGAGGGCAGCAGAAGTTATCCCAAATCATACAGATATGATAGTAACTTACACTAGGGGCATGGTGGCTAACAGACCACTCAACTTCATTGAACTCCTCCTTGGCTGCATAATCGTCATCAGCTGTTCTCATCAACTATTTTAAAAGAAGAAAGAATATTTGATCAGGATCAGAACTCAATGGATAAGCTAACATACATCAAATATCAGAAAGAACAACATAAGATATTGATTTTTACAAACTTTATTAAAAACAAAATTTAGGACCTAGATTTAAAAACGTAGGTTTTAAGCACATTCATCATTTTGCATTTATTTTTTCTGCTCTTCTCTTTTCCTCTCTGTTAATCCTTTTATTTTACCTTTTCCACTTTGTTAAAATCCTCCAGTTCAACTAATTCAGTATCAAATAGTAGTTAGTTCATTAACTGTTCAACCTGCTAAAAGTTTGCTCCTGGTTTATCATTGCAACTTAGGGCTTACAATCCAATCACATGAATATTTGGCAATACAGAATAACTGAATCCTATTAGAATGTTCTCTTCAAGTGATTACTAAGATTTGTATTTCTCATTGATTGTGATTATTGTGTACACTGATTCTTTATCAGGTTCTGTAACTTTCAGCAATGTATCAGTCAGCAAGAACAAAGAAAATGCCGCAGTGATGAACATAATTGTTCATATACATGAAGGAAAACAATTTATTTCTTTCTTGTAAGAAAGTTGCTCAGTAAAAGTGTAAAACCATTTTAGTCCAAGTTTCCATTTCAAAATGAAGATCTAACAGGCAATTACAGCATGGAGAAAAAGTTGGACAAGGATGAAGGATAAAGTAAAACAGTTTACCAACAATTCCGCAACCTCCAAGGCAACAGACTCCCCAAATAGCTGCTCAGCCAAGGATAAAGCAAACAGATAAGTAGTTCCAGGGCCACGGCTGGTTGTAAGCTCTCCGGAAACTTGAATGTTTGTTTTAACTGCCCAAAAGGTTGGAAGCCTGTCGAAGAATGCAGGGTGACAAGTCGTCTTGCATGACAAACTAGAGACAATTAGCCATGTAGAGATCAGATGAACTTAAAAAATATGAAATGAAACTCTAAACCAAGGATAAATTTTTAGTCCTCACTAGATAAATTTTTTTTGGAGATTTCTCTATCAATTCATCGATTACTCAACTAATATGGTTGAGCCGAGCAGGACCACAAGAGCGACAAAGTTCTCCCTACCAAGTTCTAGTTAAGCTGGAACAACCTTGTGTCATTTGATCCATGTCATTGGTAGATACTACACTCACTTAAATTATAACATTTGAAGTTGCCTACTTGCATTTAGACCCATTTTCTTGACAACTTTTTTTTTTCGATGCCACTTAAGTACATGTGTTAATGATGTCTAATGATTTCATGAGTCATAATTTTTTGGGTTCGCTTTTTCTATAGTCAATATAGATAACTTATATCTACATTGAGCCCAAAACAACGTTGTTTTGAAGCGGAAATCAAGGTATTTTTGTAATTATAATTTATTTCAGGATTATAATAGTCTTTTTAATTATAATTTTTTAATCCAGAACGATGTCGTTTTGGGAGCGAATGTAGATAATTTATCTGGTAGAAACATTAAACCCTAATTTAAATGGGTATAATATTTACATAAGAACTAAAAACTTGTCCCTAAACAAATAGTAACAGATATTCACCCAATCAAATCCAAGTTAGGTGAAGTAAAGTACCTTCTTTCTCTTCAAAAGACCCCATGGCAAAAGGGTGATCGCCGGAGCAGCACAAATAGCACCATAAAGCCTCTTTTGCTCAGCTTGTTTGCACGTGATTTTTCTCAACATATCGCAATCCCTTAATCTTGCTGAGCCAGGCATTCCTCCCTGTTAAACACGCAGCTTTTGCTTACAGTTAAACACTTACACTACGAAGATGAAGAAAAGAAAAAGCAATTCGGTTAGAAAAGTAACCGGCAAAGCGACAAGATCAAAAATTTGACCGAAACAGTCGGAGATGGAGGTGTCAGCCACCAATTTGGTACCCCCGGCGGCTTCAACTTGAAGCTGCGGCTCCACGGAAGCCACGGTCACGTGAGCTCCGGCACGGCGCAGGACGTGAATGAGGATAACGGTTTCCATTTCTTCTGTTCCGTAACCGATGGGAACCAGAACCTTCTTGAGAGGGACTGCATTCGTTGCTGTTGGTGGAGAGACAGAAATATTGGGTTTTGGAGTTGGCGTTCTCTTCCGTGGAGGCGCGACGGAAGCAACGGGTATAAGAGGAACAGAGGCAGCGGCAGCCACCGGAGAGAGCCGTGTGGAAGGTTGAGGTCGCAGCAGCAACGACATGGACTCTTTTACCACTTACACACACAACTCAGTCTTGCTCGGATAAGTTCAGTCCCATTTTCATTCTTTCACATAAAACAAAATAAAGTTCATATGTTATAAAAAAAAAAAATAAAGTTCATAATGAGTACTAAAAAAAATAAAAATAAAAAGTTCGTAATAAAATAAGAAGAACAATTTTTTTTTTTACAATTTCTTATAATTATATCTTAACACTATTGATTTTTGTCAATCAATGTTTATGATTTTTTCAAATTAAACTTATTAATTCACAGTAAATGATAACTGTTGATTGACGAAAATCAACGGTATTAAGATATAGTTGTAAGAGGTGTAAAAAAAAAATTGTAAGTATAACCTTCCTCGTAAAGTAAAGGGAAAAGTTATACTCACAACTTTTTTTTTTTTCTTATTATCTCTTATTACTAAATCTTAACTGTTAATTTTCGTAAATTTAACGGTTATAATTTATTGGGTAATACTTATCAATTAATTATTAATTTTCAATAAATTATAACTGTTAGATTAGTGAAAATCAACGGTTAAGATTCGATAGCAAGAGGTAATAAGAAAAATAGATAATAAATATAACCTCTCCTTAAAATAAATATGATTTACTAATTTATCACTTATATCCTTATATTTTTTTTTTCTTATCAATTACTCTGGAGTTCCAAGTCCATTTTTAATACCGTAATTCAACTAACTTTTCCAATTTACCCCTATTTTGTTTTCATTGATCTAAAGGTTCGATTTCGACCATTTTACGTGCAGTTCCTTTCTTTCCCTTCTTCCACTACTAATATCACTTATCTAATAGGATTGTCTATAATGGCATCCTAAGTAAGTACGTCATAGGAAATAAATTGATTGATGTAATTGAATGATATTGTTACTAATTTTAAATTTTGTCATTGTATTTATTATTGCTATTATTGTTTGGCCGCTTGGTGGGTGTATGCCTTCTAACTCTATCATAGATTGCTATTATTGTTTGGCCGCTTGGTGGGTATATGCCTTCTAACTCTATCATGGATGAATCTCTTGTGGCTTGATTTTGTGGATCTGTTGTAGAATGACTTTGCATGTAATCCATTCCTTTGCTTGAGTTCTTTTTACTTTTTAGGTTGGATTCATGTATGCAATACTAGAATTATGAAATTAGTCAATTGACTCAAACTTCCCACAATAAATTAGCTGAAAAAGTTGAGCAGCTCAAGTAAAAAATTGGAAATAAAGTAGGCTATGTCTTGAAAGTGCCTCAATAGAGAGACATGACATACGAAAGAAAAAAAAAACCAGTGAAACGCCAAACATAAAATAAGGGTAAATTGGACAAGTTAATTTAATTACTAAGGTGTTAATAGTGGATTTGGATGGAAAAAATCACAGTAGAGTAATTGATAAGAAAAAAATACATAAGAGTGTAAGTGATAAAAGAATAAACCATAAAAGAATTTATGAACTTTTCCCAATTTAATAACAATTTATATAAGATTTAAATATTAATATAACATTAACATATTAACATTATAATTAATAGCAAATAATATCTAAATATAATGATACAAAATAAATATAATGTAATTTGACTCTCTTTTTTCAACAAATTCACCTTTATCTAATTAATCCTAATCGAGGACCGTCAAATTTATATTGAAACTTACTGTTTTAAAATTATATTTTGAAAAAAATATTTCTCATGTTGCATGTGTTTTCTCATGTTATAACTATTTGATTTGTTTGCAAAGCTTTTTTTTTTAAAATAAATTTGGGATCCGCCACTAGCTAAGTCATAACATGAAAAAATAATTGTCATCCAATATGAGAAAATCAAAGCCCTTATATTTTTTATTCTCACTGCACAACTTTTTAACAAGGGAAGTACCACTTGATTATTTTTGAATTAGATGGGTTTAACAAATATAGTTTAAGTTTGACAAAATTTAAAAAAATAAATAAATATGATAATTAATATATTAGAATTTGTTCTAATCCAGCCGAATGGTCTCGGCCGCCATGTTTAGCATTTAGAGCATGTGACTTCCTTGTATATGTAGAGGAAGATTATACTTACAATCTTTTTTTTTACAACCTCTTACAATCATATATCATAACCGTTAATTTTCGTCAATCAACGGTTGTCATTTATTAATAATTAATAATTAATTAATGAGTTTAATTTGCAAAAATCATAACCGTTGATTGACGAAATCAACGGTTATGATATATGGTTGTAAGAGATTGTAAGAAAAAAATTATAACTATAACCTCTCTCATATATGTATTTTCTTATATTTTTTTACACACGCGTGTCTTTTTATACTTTAGGGTCATGCAGCCTCACACAAAGCTATGAACGATTATGATATCACACTTTATATACTTAGTGGAAATCTTCGACATTCTATATAAGGGGACCTCCATTCCCTCGTTTATTCATTTGCTTCTATTGCTATTATTATGTTAAAATATATCCTCAAGTCATAACTAGAACCCAATTACATTTCCTTTCATCCTTGACTAGTGTGATGCTACTACAATGACTCTACAAAGCCCTACCTATACCACAACCTCTCTTATCTCCAACAAATTGGCATGTTTCACCACGGAAAACAAACCCGTATCTTTTGACTCCAATAGTTAAGGATTATAATTGGAAAAATATATTCTTATGTTGTAGGAGAGAAAATCTCCTACACATACATGAATTTTTGTATTATTTTTTTATTCTTTATTTTTATAATGAGTGAATCTCATATATGATTATCTCTATTACACGAGAGAGTTCTCTCTTATTACATGAGATTAGTAAAACCCATTATAATTATAAGCAAATAATATTTAAATATAATAATAAAAAAATTAAGATAATATAGTTTGGCTATTAATATATTTTTCAACGGATTCACCAATTATTCAATTAGTTCTATTTAAGCATTGTCCCACTCATTTGGAGACTTCACAATTATGTTTTTCATTGCCACAGTAGGAACTCAACTTCTATAGAGAGAATAAATTATGGATTTAATATCTCTTATATTATAGGAGATAAAATGATTTTTTATACATTCATAATAGAATATGAGACTTATAATTTTTATTCTCTCTTTTTTTTACATGGGTCACAACACTTTATGTATATATAATACATAACTTTATTTCTTACAATATAAAAAACATTAAACTCATAAAATTTTTTACCTCTTGGTTATCTTTGAATTAGATGAGTTTTACAAATATGGGATGAGTTTGAAAAAATGAAAAAAAAAAAAAAAAAGGAAACATAAAATATGTATAAAATAATTTTAATGCCTATCCGAAGGGATGCTATATAATATTATCTTATATAGTTCCAAAAAATTAAAGAGGTGGCATGATTATCCATCCAATGGCAGTATCCGATTATCGATGTTCAAATAGTTCTCTAGTAACCAAGACAGGATCTGGTGTGCGCGAAGGAGAGGGGTGAATCACAGAAGAAAAGAGAAAGGATGGTTGGCTTTATTGGAAGAAAAGCAAGTTGGGTTTCCTCCAATTTGTTTGGAAGAACAGGGATAAGGGGTTTGTGTTTGGGAGTCCTTCCTAGTCCTAATGGAGGGGCCATGGATGACTTGATTGCCACTCTCCAATCTCATGTCCAAAAGGTTCTTGCTGGTGGAGGACCTGAGGCAGTGAAAAGAAACAGGAATAGGAATAAGCTTCTCCCCAGAGAAAGAATCGATCGCCTTCTTGATCCTGGTTCTTCCTTCCTCGAGCTTTCACAGGTTTTTTTTCATGCTTTTACCTTTTTTGTGTTCATCATTCATTTGGGTTTGTGTAAAGCTCATTACTTTGGACCATTGCAATTAATGGGTCACGTGTTTAACTTAAAAAGGTTCATGATGCATAAAGCTTGCAGGACATGATTTGTATGAAGATCCTTTGCCTTCTGGTGGGATTGTTACTGGGATAGGTCCAGTTCATGGGAGACTTTGTATGTTTGTGGCTAATGATCCCACTGTTAAGGGAGGGACTTATTATCCTATTACTGTTAAGAAACATCTCAGGGCACAGGAGATTGCTGCTCAGTGCAAATTGCCATGTATATATCTTGTTGATAGTGGAGGGGCTTTCCTTCCCAAGCAGGCTGAAGTATTTCCAGACAGAGAAAACTTTGGTAGAATATTCTATAATCAGGCTATTATGTCTGCTCAAAGAATTCCACAAATCGCATTGGTATTAGGTTCTTGCACTGCTGGCGGTGCCTACATACCTGCCATGGCTGATGAAAGTGTGATGGTCAAGGGAAATGGAACCATTTTTTTAGCAGGGCCCCCACTTGTTAAGGTCAGCTACAGTCACTCTGAAGTTCCGAAATTCTTGTGTGTGATAATCTTTGGATATTTCTTTGTTTTTTGTTTATTCTATATCTTTCAAATTTTAAAATTGTAACAGTGTCTCTATATTTGGTAGTGTATTTTATACATATTTATGACCAAAATGAACTTTAATTAAATGATTTTATAGGCTGCCACTGGAGAAGAAGTCTCTGCAGAGGATCTGGGAGGTGCTACTGTGCACTGCCAGACATCAGGTGTTTCAGACTATTTTGCTCAAGGTAAATTACACACATCTTGACTGTATAGAAAACGAGATAGCTAATGAAATCGACTTAGTTCGTTTTATTACATTTTACATGTTTTGTTTCTTGTAGATGAACTCCATGGGCTTGCACTTGGGAGGAGCATCATTAAGAATTTGCATATGGCTGCGAAAGATGTGTTGGCAAATGGATTGCAAAATATAAATTATGAATATAAAGAGCCACTATATGATGTCAATGAACTTCGTTCTATTGCTCCTACTGATCTTAAGCAGCAGTTTGATATCCGATCAGTTATTGATCGCATTGTTGACGGAAGTGAATTTGATGAATTCAAGAAATTGTATGGCACTGTGAGGACATATTCACTTTACTTTCTACCTGTTTAATTATTTTTTTATATGCATAGGTTGCTATGGAAATATGTTGTTTTTCTAGGTGCCGATACCCTTGATGAGTTGTCACATGTTTATTGCTTGATGGTGTTCACAATAAATATTTGGAATCTACCAAGTATATGCAGCAATGAATAAATGTTTCACAACTCATCAAGATGCTAATAGCCTGGAATAAAGAAATACTGTAGTAATTGCCTATAAGTATAACATATCCTTATTCAAAATCTATGCAGACTCTTGTAACAGGATTTGCGAAAATTTTCGGACAGTCAGTTGGAATTATTGGAAACAATGGGATTTTATTCAATGAATCTGCTCTGAAAGGGGCCCATTTCATTGAAATATGTACTCAACGTAACATTCCCTTGGTCTTCCTTCAGAACATCACTGGATTCATGGTATGAATTTAAGCTCTTTCTTCAGTCACTCTAATTATAATGTTTTGTGTCATTATATTCTTCTTAGTAGATTGGTTCCCTTTTCCTTCACGACATCATTGGCTTTGTGATATTAATTATCTCATTATATTCTAGTGTTTAGTAATCAAGAGAGCGGAACTACCTAATAATCTCCATGATTACATGAATAAATGAGCTGTAGCATCGATAGGCAATTAGGCATGAAAGTCAGGTGGGTTTGGGAATCATCAATTGAAATTCAGTAGAAAGATAATAATGTGTAGATTTAGGAAATACAGTTGGGTGAGTGACACTGTAAGACTAAGTAAATACACATAAGATCTCAAAGTACAGTATTGGTCTATCTTCGTACCTTTCTTTAATTATGATCCTCATTCTTACTTTATTTATAGTCCAGTTTTGTCTTAAACGTCCTTCTTGGTGGATATACATATCGATGTATTTTGATATATGGTACTATTCCTTACCAAATGGTATGTCTGTAGCCATGCAGGTTGGTTTACAAAGTGGATGCCAAATACTTCATCTCATCCTTATTTTTGAGTCCTAATTATAGTCACAGTTGTCTAGAAATGATTAAAATGCTGAAGGAAAGTAGTTGCTATTTGTTTGTCTCTCGTTTTTTCCAGTCAAGAATTGTTAAACCTAAATATTCTTTCTCTAAACAATTTCGAGTTATGATATTAGTAAACTATCCCCTAGTAGTTTGATGAAGAATGAAACTGTGATAATTGTCAATTTGGTAGGTCGGCTCAAGATCTGAGGCAACTGGCATAGCAAAGTCAGGTGCAAAAATGGTGATGGCTGTTTCTTGTGCAAAGGTTTGTGGATTCCAGCCACCTACTACTTATAACGTATTCTTTACTCTTTAGCTGTATGAACTTAACACTTGCAAAGGCAGAGTAAGTTTATCTACTTGTAACTATTAGGGTCTTGAATTGTGCTTCCATTTGGGCAAGTTGGTCTTTCCTGCATGAAAGAAAGAAATGGATATATACTTTTCAAGGGGAAATAATTATTTTTGCTTCGAATAAATACCTGCAGGTACCTAAAGTCACTATAATTGTTGGTGGAAGTTTCGGTGCAGGAAACTATGCAATGTGTGGTCGTGCCTATAGTCCCAATTTCATGTTCCTTTGGCCTAATGCGAGAATATCTGTCATGGGTGGTGCTCAGGTAGTATATCACTCATGAGTTATGATTCTTTACAAATTATTGGCATTGATTTATCCTGAACATCATTCTGCATCGTAATTGTTGTGCACTTTCCATGATGCATCATTATAGCATGTTTTGCATGTGTTCTCCATTCCAAATCAAACTGGATTTAAAGGTTTGACTGATCTTTAGTTGATATTTCATATGGTTTGTGGGGTGTTTTTATATATATTCGTCTGGAATGTGATCATCAGGCTGCTGGTGTACTTGCCCAAATAGAGAAAGGCAATAAGAAAAAGCAAGGAATTCAGGTAAAATATGTTTGGGGAAGGATTGTTTATTGTACTTCTTTGATAACAAATTCATGGTTTTCTCATTTGTCTTTGATTGCTCAATGTGCGTTATACTTGTAATGCAGTGGGACAAGGAAGAAGAGGAAAAGTTCAAAACAAAAGTAGTGGAGGCTTATGAGAAAGAAGGAAGTCCTTATTACTCAACAGCGAGGCTTTGGGATGATGGAATCATTGATCCAGCTGATACAAGAAGAATCATTGGTCTATGCATCTCTGCTTCCTTGAACCGTGCCCCAGAAGATACCAAATATGGTGTATTTAGAATGTGATATTGAAGCTTATTTGTGCACTAAAAGTTGGTGCAGCCCAGAGTCTGATGTAGATTTGTTACGTTCTGTGATTAAGAAAGGAAAGAAAAAAGTGAGGGTTGGGGGGTTGAAGGGCAAGACCAACAATATGTAAAAGGGAATAAGTAAAAAGTAAATTTCTTCCTCTCATGGAGTGGTGAACTATTATTTTATAAAAGTAAATTTTAAAATATTTTAATAAAACTATTAAAAAAATTTTAACTCAACCGAAAATAATTTTGTAACTAAATAAAGGTCTAATGCTTAGCTATAAAAATTCAGATATGAAACCAATGTAGAAGCAAGGCATGGAATGACTTGCATCCTTCTTAGCTATATATATGTTGTGTGCATTGATGTTTTGTTCAATATTCCACGCGGGACTTGTGTATAATTTCCTTTTTTACATATTTCTTATATTTGGATTTTCAATCATCGTTCAAAATCGAATTTTGAAGCATTAAGCAACATAATGTTATCCTCTTTTTTCTTTATTCCATGCCACATTTGTTAGATGATTACTAGTTAAAGAGGCTAAATAATAAACATACAATAAGTCACAAGGAATAAAGCAAAAAAAAGAAAAGAATAATGTTTTGCCCAGTGCTTTAAAATCTTCAGTTAGACAACATAAATAGGAGGCTTTTTTTTAATACATTGAGAATCGAACTGAACACATTGAGAATCGAACAGAACACTTTCTATCCACCTCTTCACAAATAGGACTTTATACTTGTAAGTTCCACATACGTCAGTTAGTAAAATATCCAAGCATACAAATATATGAAAACTAAAACCGGGTATTTCACCATGCTTTGCTTATACGTGGGTCTTGTACTTGGACTTTACGGAGCGTTTGGTAGTGGAGAAATTTTTTTTAACGGGAATAAATATTTTCTGAGAAAAAAGTGGCAAAATGTTTTGACCGGGAAGGTTAAAAAAAGTATTTGGTAGGTTCAAATTTCACCGGAAAAGTTGAGTGAATTTTACTGATGTTATATTTGGATGATTGTAAAATATTGATGGGAAAGAGTATCAAAATTACCAAATAACCCCCACACCTGGACTAGGGCTCATTAGCTAAGGTTTGAGAAATGTATTTTGATGCAAGGCATTTTTGTCATACAAAAGCTATCTTTCTTTGCCACTGACCGGGAAAAAAAACTAACCACAATATCCATGGCAAATTTTTTCATCTCATTCATGTGTAAAAGCAAATTTTGGTCAGCTTTTTTTCCCATTCAACTTTTTTCAAATCTTCCTACCAAACGTTGCTATAATATCTTTCCTATCTTGTTTTCTTGGCCAAATTTTTTTTTTGACCCCCTATTAAACAGTCCCTTAATAACTTGAAATTGGGCCTTCATTTGGTTAACTTTTATTCTTCGGTTTAGTTCAATTTTCTTTAAAAAACTATTAGAGTTTTTTTATAAAAAAGGAAGAGCAAAAAAAAAAGTGTTGCTAGAGCCATGTGGTAACACTACATGGATGCTTCGCTTAATGTGATGTCACCGCATGACACATACAAAAAATATATTAATTTTTTAATAATATGTGCCACGTGCTGCTGGGTGAACAAGTGTCATTATTTACGTGGCACACAAATTTAAAAATAAGAAACATAAAATTTAACGACAGAACTATTCTTCTAGAAAAACTTTATTGTAGCAGGAGTAGCAAATTTGGTGTTTTATTAAATATAATTTTTTTTCAAAACTTAAAAAAATAGAAAAATAAAAAAGTAAAACGGAATTTTTTTTCTGCTTAATAATAAAAGGAAGCACCAAATACGGTGCTTTAGGTGCATTGCAGATTTTCTAATTATTCTTATTGCTAATTGTCATAAATACTGAAAACAAGCTGTAGACGAGAAGGCGCATATGGCCTAATGGATGGGTTCGAGTTATTTCACTGCTCTATTACTTGATGGCAGTGCTTCGAGCGGATATTTGGCCGAATCTCGGTAATTTAGTGGATCAAATGAAGGTAAAGTGTTTTCATTTTAAAGGATGTAAAATTGGGTTATGTTAAGTGAGATAAAGAGATAGATAAAGAAGAAGTGAGAGTGAACAAAAAAAAATAAAGATGTAGGTCTCACCTCTTTGTGAGAGTAAAAGAATATAAGTTGTGTCATTTAAAAGGACAAACACTTTCCCCTTAAATGAAATCTGGTTGACCTTTTTTTTTTTTTTCTTTTGAAAAACTAACCAATTTTTTTTAGCTTGTTTCTTACTCAAACAAAAGAATGGAGGAAAGTCTTAAACAAACTAGACCTGCATCATGAGCTAAAAATTGAAGGAAGATTTTAAATACAATTTGATTTTTCAACTTAAAAAAATAAGAAATAAAAAAAAGCTCTGGTTGGGAGCAAGTATAATATCCAATTTTTTATCCCTCCCTATATGTGCATTTATTCTTTTCATTCTATTAATATATTCTGTAATTGAAAAAAACCTATATTTTATGAAAGCATTTGGATAATTGGTATTGATGTTTTCACTAGTTATGCTTTTATACTTATAAAGAAATATCCATAGTGCATTAATTTTTTATCTATTATTTGCTATGTATCATCTAATGTGCATAAAATTTCGAAGAAGATGATTTTATTCTATTTCACTTTTTTACCAGCTTGTTATGGTCTTTGATTCGCGATATTCACTTATAACATTGATTCACAAATTTTTTATACCTCCTTTGATTAAAAAATTGTAAATTATGCAAACTGTTAAGATAAAAAAATATGATGTTGTCACTTTCTGTTGCATATATAAATAACATTCTTCTTTCACTTATAGCATTTATTATCCTTCACTTTCTTTATATTATTGTAAGCAATGTATTTATATTTTTAAAATGAGTTCGCTTTTTCTGTAGCTGCAGATAATTATCTGTAGTAAGCCTAATACGACGTCGTTTTGGGACAGAAATCATGGTATATTTGTAATTTTATTTTATTTCATAATTATAATAGTCTTTATATTTATAATTTTTTAAGATTTTAATACCAAAACGATGTCGTTTTGAGAATAAATGCAGATAATATATTTGCATTAACTGTAAAAATATTTTTCCCTTTTAAAATATGTGAACAATATATCTGGTTGAACCAATAATTCAGTATCTTGACCGAGTCGATGATCGGTCTGAGTTTTAAAACACTGCTTGACAGTTCTCACTTGATATCATTTTGTAAAAAAAAAAGTAGTGAGTATAATCTACCTCATAAATATTAATGATGTTAGGATAAAAATAATATAAGAGGGAGAAAGTGAGAAGTTTTTTATTTAAATTTTAAATAAAGAATACTAGTTTTAACTAAAATAAATATTCTTTATGTAAAAAAATAGAGTATCCTTCACAAGAACAAACATGTTTCCCATAGTTAACATTAATGTGTACATTTGTGTTTATCCTATATTACTTGTTGCAATTATCTACAAATATTTTCGCTTTTTTTATTTATTAAAAGTTAAAAATATGAGGTCAACATAAAAACAATATAAAAGCAAGTATGAATGCTTGCATTTGTATGTTTTATATGGTCATATTTACGTGTAATACATGTGTTTTTTTGGGAAAAGCACCATTTTGAAGTTTTTGGACAAAAGAATTGCCCGGTTAAAGCTGATTGGATAAGTTTTTCCAAAGTAATGCAGTCAAACATGTCACCTATGCTGACGGGACTAGTCCCGTCACTGATACTGACGGGACTCGTGCCACGTCAGCGCCACGTAGGCAATCCAGTTACCGTAAATCTTCGGAAGACCATAACTTGTGACTCGGGTATTCAAATCAGATGATTTTTTTTTTATTTCACATAATTTTTTGAGATCTACGCAATGATATCTCATTTGACATATTTTATCTCCCACAAACATAGATTGAATTTGTAACAATTGTATCACAATCACAAGAGTGTTTATCCATAAGACTGTGTTTGTGGGAGATAAAATATGTCAAACGAGGTGTCATTGTGTAGATCTTGAAAAGTTATGTGAAATCAAAAAAAAAATCATCTGATTTGGATACCCGAATCACAAGTTATGGTCTTCCGAAAATTTACGGTAATTGGACTACTTACGTGGCGCTGACGTGGCACGAGTCCCGTCAGTATCAGTGACGGGACTAGTCCCGTCAGCATAGGTGACATGTTTGACTGCATTACTTTGAAAAAACTTATGCAATCAGCTTTAACCGGGCAATTCTTTTGTCCAAAAACTTTAAAATGGTGTTTTAGCCTTAACTAAGTTTATTATTAATTATTATTGGATAATGAGTAAAGATGTCAAAATGGGTCAGCTCATCCTATTAAGCCCTAGCCTGTGTGGGCTAGGTCCAAAAAATTCGTAGGACCAAATGAATCTCAATAATAAAGGCTTGCACAAGCCAAAAGCCCTATGGGTTAGGGCCAACTCACGGGTCATCCAAAATTATAATTTCATAATTTTTTTTATTATATTCAATATATTAAAAAATATCTTAACAAAAAAATATTTAAAACTCTCTTAACATATTTTATACAAATTATAATTTTTTTGTTAACTAAAATAATATTTGTACACAAATATACAAGTGAAAATGTAAACAAAATTTTAATATAAGTGAAATTTTAGTTACTACCTTTACTAAATTCATTATTAAAGGATGCCATGAAATAAAAAATTTCTCAGGAGTAATGACTGAATACAATAATCCTTGTGGAAAACTAAAAGTAACGACGAAAAATAATCTTAATATCAGTATTGAATAACTGCTCTTAGTATGTTATATATTTGAAAATAAAACTATTGATTTTCTTTAACTATTACCGTTACAAAAAAACTTTTTAGTTATAATTATCCACAAAATTACTAAGGTGCATTATATACAATATGTTTTAATACATCTTTGGATATATAATATGCTTCGATGTCAATAGAAGATTTCATTTTTATTGATACGCAGATGAAATTTTCTGTTGAAACATATTATTGCTAAAAAATTTATTTATGTTGTAAAATATTATGGATGACCTTTCACATGATTTATAATATGTGACTTTTTATTTTTCATAACATTTGATGTATTCTATTGTTGGATTGGAGAAAATATCCAAGTGAGAGTGTTGTAAAATATTATGGATGAACTTTCACATTGTTTATATAATGTGACTCTTTATTTTTCATAATCTTTGATGTACTCTATAACCATCACATTAAAGATGTGTTGAATTGGAAAATACATCCAAGAGGGAGTGTTGTAAAATATTATGGATGACCTTTCACACGGTTCATAACATGTGACTCTTTATTTTTTATGACCTTTGATGTATTCTATAACCATCACATTGATGGTGTGTTGAATTGTAGAATACATCAAAGAGAGAATGTTGCAATATATTATAGATGACTTTTACATAGTTCATAATACGTGACTCTTTGTTTTTCATAACTTTTTATGTATTCTACAACCGTCACACTAATGGTGTGTGGAATCGTAATTATTCCCCTAATTATATTTAGAGTCCTATATAAGGACATTTCTTAGATGAAAAAATGGAACTTGGTGAATTCAGAATATAATATAGCACATACTCAATGTTGTCAAAATCGAGTTTCTACGTAGAAACAGAAGGGATAATGGAAATGTAAATCGTAGAAATGACACGAAACATAAAGTTTTTACTACTTTAAGATGAAGATATATATATATATATATATATATATATATATATATATATGGGTTTTATAATTCTCATTTAACATGGGAATTTGAATTTTCCTACACACCATTCGATTTCCGTTTCAACGTGGGTCCTACACATAATTTTTTCTAATATACGGGTCCCACATGCTTTTTGTCTCTACAACATGAGAATTCAATTCTCATGTTGAATGGGAAATATAAAACCCTATATATATATATATATATATATATATATATATATATATATATATATATATAAACTATCACATAAGTTATTATTCAAAATTCAATTAATAACTTCATATTTAAAAGATATAAGTCACATAACTATATAAGACATAAGTCTAAAAACATAAAAAAGAGTTTAACAATTCCTACAACCAAATTTCAAAATATCAAAAGAATAAAGTTTAATAACTTTTAAATTATATAAATTAATTCAAATCAAACACATCATTTTGTTTCAATTGCATGTCCTCAATGTCTTTTTTCTGTTGCTTCTTTAACAAGTTCATTTGCAATAAAATATAATAGATTGATTCAAAATCCACCTTAGCTTGGTACTCAAACTTTACACCAATGGTTTCACCTTCTTTTTTCTCTACAATAGCGACCTCACGCGAGGTTTATTTTTCAAATAGCTAGAAGAAGATATTATGTATTTTGATTTAGGGGAAATAGACATAGGTTTTTTTTTTTTTAAAAAAAAAACGGGGTCATAGGTTAAAAGTTGACCCGATTCAAATTTTTTTTTTTTTGTACAAGACCCCGTTCAGTTTTTTTGTTTAAGTAAACGTAGAAACTTGCGTTTTTATGTTTTTGCACGAAGTTTTTACCAGTTTTTACTTGCGTTTTAACACGTATCACTTCAGTAAAAACGTAAGTTTTTACACTAGTTTTTGACAACAATGCACATACTTGTTCTTATCTTATTCTTTCTTTGATTTTTTTTTCTACACTTCATTTTCCTTTCTATAATATTTCACTTTCTCTTATATTTTCCTTCAAATTTACAATAATTTTTACTTATATTATTTCATAATTTATTTTATATTTATAAATATTTAAATTTATATAATTTTTAGTTTTTTAAATAATGAAAAATTGATGAAAAAAAAAGTTTAGTCCGTGGGCCCGCCCTAACCCAGTTTGCTAAATTAAAAGATTTTGAAGATTAGGACTAAAAAAAACCTACCACAAAAAAGCCCTAATGACTTAGGACAACATATAGGGCTTTACGGGCTGACTCGCGGATTTCAACTCATTTTGACACCTCTAATAAAAAGGCTTGAATATATGAATATAACCTCATGCAAACCACTCAAACTCCTACCAATTCCAATAGCTTAGGTTATTATTCTATATTACTTATTGCTATCCCAATAAATAATTTTCACTTTTAATTAAAGGTTAAAAAAAGAGGTTAACATAAAAAATAATATAAAAAGGTAAGTATTAATTTGCGCACTTTATATAGACAAAAATTAAGATTATCACAATTAGTCAATTACAAAGTAAGAAGTTTATTAAAAATAATTTGGGGTAAAATAAGAACTAGTCCTATATCTATTAAAAAAAATATAGAAACCTAAGTAGTATAACAATTGCATTAATGCTCCCATATTAATTAAAGTAATTTATAATCAAGCACTGGGACTTGGGAATATTCTAAAAGAATTAGTCTCAAACCAATGTAATATATCTCGATCATAGAAAGAAAAAGATCCGTAATCATTCTTTAAATTATTTTGTTCTTTATTGATATATTTTTTTAAGAGAACACATCCATCATTTACTTCATATATTTTACGACCGAAAGAAATGCTAAATAGACACAAGTTATATTCGCTTTTTCTATCATCAATGTAGATAACTTATTTACAGTGAGTCAAAAACAACGTCATTTTGAGGCGGAAATCAAGATATTTTTGTAATTATAATTTATTTTAGGGTTATAATAGTATTTTTCATTATAAATTTTTAATTTTTTAACTCAAAACAACATCATTTTGGGAGCGAATGTAGATAACTTATCTATATTCACTTTAGAAACATTAAAGTCTATATACATACAGGGAAAAACATATATATATAAATGATGGATAGATTATTACGATGAAAGAGTATTGAAAAATGATAAATAAAATAAGTATGAAAATAAAATAGATTGAATATCTTATGAGTTTGTTTTTTTGTGCAGTTAATGAAAATAACTTATTTGCATTAATAAATATTATTATGATATCTTATATATAATTTCATGAAAAACATTCTCCATAATTGGAAAGTGAAAAAGAAAATGGTGGAGAGAAAATAGTCAAAATACAATGTTTGACTAGAAGTTGAGCAGTTTGCAAATTGCAAATTTGCAGCAGCCACCGTTTTTCTCCCTCGTGTTTATTTTTATTTTCTGAGATTCCTGCGGTCCCATTGTTTGTGTTTGTCTTTCTCACACTTGTCACAGTCCCTCTCTCTTCTCTTCCATTTCCATGGCTGCGTTTTCTCTCACCTCCTCTCCTTCCCTTCACAAACCCATGTTCTCTTCTTCTTCTCATTCCCACCTTAACCCTCGTCCTTCACTTCCTTTCCATTTGCAGATTATGACCCACAAGCCCCTTTGCCTTCAAAACCCTCATCTTTTACAGATTCGCTCCTTCCGTCAACAAACTAGAGGTATATATTTCCTTTATTATTTCAATTTTTTTTTTTTTTTTGGCTTAGGATTGTTACATCGTCCCGAAATTGAAAAAAAAAATAAAATAGAGAAAGGAATGTGTGATGATGAGTTTGTTTGAATTGGGTTAAGATAACTGGGAAAGTTGAAGTCTTTTTTTTTTCTCATTTCCGTTAATGGTTTGTTTTCCTTTCTCTTTGTGCTTCTGGGGTTTCTTGTTTTTAACCAAAACAATATTTGAAGCTCTTTTGAACCTAATAATGCTTTTATTTGAAGTTAAGGCAAGATAGCTGCAGATTTGGTTTTTGCCCTGGTAGGGGATGGTTAAAACTTGTACATTGGGTTGGATTGATTATGTTTGTGTTATAGCATCTAATCTATTGCGTATAGGGCGCATTCAAGAGTGTTTAGTGATAGTAATAACTTCTCACGGATCACTTGATATTATTGCCATGCCGCCAACAATATTTTTGTTTTTCAACTATTAGACTTCAGCAATTAGGTGCTGTATACCAGAGATAACCGAGCTTGTTTTTGTTGCTCTTAGTTCTGGCTAGACTTCATCAGGGTTTTTTGTGGGATGATGCTTGTAAGGTTTGATGAAATGTGTAAACCTCAATATGTGGCATATTTTGTCTTGGAAATACTAAGCACTAGACAAAAGGATAATAGGAACATTGCTATATATTATTGTTAAAGAATTTCAGAGGAGCTGTTGGGCACTATCATAGGTTATAACTTGGAAATAGGATGGCTTGAATTTCATTCATAATGCTTTTTTAAAATGGAGGTTTTGATGGTTATAGACCAATTTTATGTCCTGTCACTTTTTTGGTGCTTGTAAAGAACCAATTCAATCCAAAAGCTTAAGCTGTTAAGTGAAGGCCCATCAATGGTTTATATACTTCTCTAATACGCTTCCTCACACGAGAGCTCACTGTGCATGAAGGGTGGATAATGCACAGGCCTACCTACCTGTGCTAAGAAATTCCACAAGAGAAAGTGGGGGGCTGTGAGGATCGAACCCGTGTTACCGAGGCTCTGATACCATGTAAAGAACCAATTCAACCCAAAAGCTTAAGCTGTTAAGTGAAAGCCCATTAATGGTTTATATACTTCTCTAGTAGTGCTTATGTTGGTAACATTGAAGAGATTTTTTTAATGTCTTTTCCCTTGTTCACTTAAACTTGGTTGTTTGATATTTATACTTTTTTGGGTTCTACAACTTAGGTTTTTAATAGGATGTGTGAAATATACTACTATGTGACTTTGGCACATTGAGGGCTTTTTAGTGATTAAAAGGAGCAACATTAGGTGTCATTGAAGTAATTGTTTCAAATTTGAAGAACAAATTATGTGAAATATTTCTGGGAAAAAATTTAGGGCAATTCTATGAAAGTGGTGAAATGGTTATTTTGGATAACTGACATTCATTATAAGGTTAGTGGTCTGTTTTAAAATAAGAAAGTAGGTTCTTCTTTGCTTTTCTCTTCTTTTTCAGAAAAGTATCTACGAGTCCAATCAATTTATTTTATTTTTATTCTTTAGAATTGTCTTGCAAAATATGTGAAAAATGTACTAATGAAATCTGCACGCAAAAAGATTCATGGAAGTTGCAGTTGGAAAAGATGCAATCCTTTGAATTGAGGTTGAGTTGTGCTAAACTTGATCCCTGTAAATCATTTGAGCCCAAAATGCATGGTTTGTTACCTATAATTATATTGCTTAGACCTAAAACACCAGCATACAAGACCCATCATGATGATTTATTTTTGTAACTAACTACAGATGATGATTCTTTTTATCTTTTGCTTATTTAAATTTCCAGGAAGTTACATAGTCTAGTTAATTATTGTACTGATTTCTGGTTTTAGTTTCTAGCTTTATCGCAATAGTTTTTTTTTTTTTTTTTGTCCTCTTGTTTTTTATGACTTTGAGGCCAATTTAATATTTTTGAACTGTCATACTTGTTTTTTTTCATCTGAAGAGATTAAAACATTGAACAAGTGAGGTTGTTATTTGGCAGCTACACCAGTTACCAAAGACCTGTGGGAAAATTCGATTGTGAAAAGTGAAACCCCAGTCCTTGTTGAATTTTATGCAAGTTGGTGTGGCCCGTGCAGGATGGTACACCGGGTAATTGATGAGATTGCAACAGAGTATGCTGGGAGACTTAAGTGCTTTATACTCAACACTGACACTGATATGCAAATTGCTGAAGAATATGAAATTAAGGCTGTGCCAGTGGTTTTATTGTTTAAAAATGGCCAGAAATGTGATTCTGTAATTGGTACCATGCCGAAGGAGTTTTATGTGGCTGCAATTGAGAGGATGTTGAAGTCCTAAACATGGATCAATCAGACAAAAACTCAGTAGAGGAGATGATCTTTTACCCTTGCATGCCATGTCGGTTCGGTTAAATTTTTAGTTAGCTTATTAGACTATTACTATTACTTTGTTCTTGTACATATTGTGTACTTTTTTCCAGAATAGGTATGAGACTGCCTAAGTAATGAATGATCCACCTTCAATCTCTATAATCTCCTTTGAGAAGCCTTGTTCAGGTATAAGGAATATCAGAGGTTAATTTGATTGTTCCTTTTGTACCTGGTTTGAACAGCAGCTGTTATTTTGAAAGTAATTTTTGTTGTGCTTATTTCCTTTATTAAACCATTGCATTGTTTTGCGACTTTTGTCCGTTGATCACCCAAGTGTGTTTGGCTAAAGTAATAACAAAAGCTCAATTTCGTCTGTTCAATTGAGTAACTATTCTAAATAAAGTTTTAACATAACAAAACAAAACAAAGATGTGTTTAGGGTCTATGGCTGGCATAAAAAATGTTCAATTTCATTTGATTAGGCTTTGTAAGTTCGTGCTGGATAGGACGACCCTCTTCCAAAATATAGGTTTGGGGGGTTGACCAGTTGGCTCTAACGACCCTTTTTAACAGCTCTAAATGGACACGTTAATATATGTTTTCCTCTAGAAAAAGTTCTACATAATGCATCATATAAATGAAAATAAGAAAGGGAAGTTGAATTACAATTTCTTTTTCCAATTGATTCCTTAAAAATTTGACTAATTCGCTTTTTGTCATGTCAAATTCATTTAGCGGTAGTTCTCGGAACAACCATTTTCTCCATTCTCAAAGTCTTGAATTCCAAAATTGCTTGTGCAAATTTAAATAATCTCTTACACAATTTACGAGCATTTTAAGAAAATAAAGTGTGAGTGAATTTCATTGAAATTGATTCGTCGTAAAATAGATATTGTTACATGACTCTTAAAATGTAAATGATTAGGAGCTCGGGAGTCCATAATGTTCAGTCCAAGTTACCTGGATTGGTAAGGGCCGGTATTGTTATAAAGTCTTCTCTTCTCTAATGGTGGTTGAAGGTGACCTTCTCCTTGCACTTCGAATAGAGAGATGGTGGCGGCTTGGTAGGGCACCTGCAAAGACTTCTATGCTCAAGTCAGTAACTCAGTATATGATTAAGTTAGATTACGTAAAATGGAAAGGCAATATCTACTTGAGGGCTTGGATCTCTGTATTTTTAATGTAAGGAAGACATGCTTGGATGCTCATTTGTTATTATGTATTTATAACGTCCAGCAAGCAGGCGTTAGTCATCTATAACAGGGTCTTCGTTGCAGGTCGAGATTGTTGGGTATGGCTCATACTTCGTATGTTGATGAAGGTCTTTGTTGTTGGAGTTAGCCGAAAGGCAACCGAGTTCCCACTCCCAGCGGGCAGTGGTCCGGAGGGCAGCGCCCCAGGCTCGTAGAGACTAGGTATTATTGTAGGCCTTAATAGTTTGGGTTTGGGCCCATGAATAGCTGTTGTTATAGTTTTTTTAATCCTATTTATATTCTCCCTTATAAATCGAGTGATTTGTAACGAGTGGCGGTGAGGTGAATATAGTAGAGACAAGCTGGTCGTAGTCCATAGTAGGTGAACCAAGATAAATCACTGTGTCAATCTCTTTTCTTTTTTCTTTCTATTTTATCGATTTTGTGTGATTGTCAATTTTCAACAATGAAGTTGCAATGGAGTGTCATGCACGTAAATAATACTATTGGCTGATGTGTCAGCTATGCATACAGAACCTACTAGTGGTGTTGGAACAATGCGGCTTTGCGCTGCATACGTTACCGCATATGAACGGGTGACATGGGAATTTAGTATATAGAATAAGGGGAATTGTTTTATCATTTAACGTGAAATAACATAATTTTTTTACACATATATATTGAGTAATGAAATCTATTTATACTTTTTCTCTCTTCTCTCTCTTATATATGTAAGTATAGGAAAATAATTTTATCTCGTATTAAATGAGATAAACAATTCCCATAGAATAAAGCTAGAATAAGGGGAATTGTTTCATGTTTTATCATTTAACATAAAATAAAATAATTTTTTTACACATATATATTGAGTGATGAAATTTATTTATACTTTTTCTCTCTTCTCTCTCTTATATATGTAAGTATAGGAAAATAATTTTATCTCGTATTAAATGAGATAAACAATTTCCATAGAATAAAGCTAGTTGTCTGACAATTGGTTGAGTTTGACTCTTGCAGTTTTGTTGCGTCTCCATCTACAAATTAGACATCAATACGTTGGCCCATTATATCTTTTCAACGCAAAGAAGTGAAAATGCGATAACCAACAATATGGCAGGGGTGTTTATCAACTGATCCAAATTGATTCAAACTGCGGTAACTGAATCGAAAAATCGATAACCGAATAAACTGAAAAATCAAAAATAAAATAAAAAACCGCAAATTTTAATTAGATTGGATCAGATTTCGGATTGATTGATGAAAACCGATCCAATCCAAACCGATCTAATATATTAATTTTTCTCTACCTACTTGGGCTTTTCCCAAATCATAGTAAAAAAAACTATATTATCATTTACTGATGCTTTTGTATTTCAATTTTTTTTTACAAAGCCAATATATACAAAAGATGTTATTTGCACAATAATTATGAAACCAATTTTAGGATTTTCAAAAAATTGAAAACCGATCCAATCCAAACTGAAAACAATTGGATAGGATAGGATCGGATTTGAAAAAAAATTCAAACAGAATGGATGATTATATGATCAAACCAAAGGGTTTGAATCAGATAATTTTTGCTTCCAAAACCGATCCAATCCAAATCACGAACACCCCTACAACAGGGTGTGTAGTTCTGAATCTGGAGATTCAGAATTTTTATGGTATGCTTATAATTTGTTTTTATTATAAAATAAAATATTTTCGAGAATTGTAGAAGATCTTGATCCAAGAAAGTGATATGATTTTACTTTATTTATTTATTTTATTTAAATATTGTACTTATATACAATCATATAGAATCAGAACATATCAGGCTTTGTAAGTTCGGGCTAGATAGGACGACCTTCTTTCAAAAATAGGGTTTTGGGGGGTTAACCTTGACCATAACTCTTTTTGACAGCTCTAAATCGACCCATTATTATATTTTTTTCCTCTGCAAAAAATTCTAAATAATACATCATGTAAATGGAAATAAAAAAGGAAACTTGAATTAAAAGCTTGTGCATTTTTTTTCAATCGGTTCCTTAAAACTTTGACTAATCCGATTTAAGTTATGTCAAATTCATTTAAAGATAGTTCTTCGAACAACCATTTTCTCTATTCTCAAGTCTTGAACTCCGAAATTGCTTGTGCAAATTTAAAAACCTCCCTTACACAATTCACAAGCATTTTAAAAAAATGAAAGTGAGTATATTTCATTCAAATTGATTTTTTTAAAATAGATTTTGATACCCGAATCTTTTTAAAAGAAAATAATTAGGAACTCGGAAGTCTAGAATATTCAATCCAAGTTACCTGGATAGGTAAGTTTAGAATCTGTTTGTTTGGACTTTTAGAAAAAAAAGTAGCTTTTATCTCTTTCTTATTTATTATTATAAAGTCTCCTCTAATGGTGGTTAAAGGTGACTTCTCCGTGCACTTCCATTAGAGAGATGGTGGCAGCTTGATGGGACCCCTGCCAGTGGTGGACCCAAAACATTTTACGATGGGGGACGAAAAATAAAAAATATTATATTATGAATAAAAATACTTATAATGTAATATAATAAACATTAAAAAAATAATTTATTAATTATTTTTTAGAAGGGTTTGATCAAAATTCATTCCATTGCAAAGAACTTTACATACAATATTAATAGAATACTTCACATGTTTTGAGTTTTTTTTTTTGCCTTTGAGGTTATGTGAAATTCATTTTTCAACTATCAATTAATTAGGAATAAAGGAATACATATACAGAGTTGTTGCAGGCATGAGAAGAAAGTGAATGAGATAACCGAAAAAATCATGTGACACAGAGTGTTTAGTTATGGCATTAAAAGTTGCAAATATTGTGGGTTGAGATATCCCGGGAGAATGATGTAGATGTTATTGTGATTGGTGTTTTATCTTTTTCTTTTATAGCGATTTTTTTTCTTCTACGTAAACCATTTGGTATTCAATCACCGAAGGGTGCCAAGTAATATAGATTTGAGTCATGCAATACCACAAATGTGATAAAACTCTCCCTATCAAGATTTTAACACAACTGTATACCTTGACTTGAAACTCAAAACTCGAAACTACTGATTAAGTTAAAGCAACCCCGTGTCGATTGATCTATATGCTTGTTAGTTTTTCTTTAGAAGATGAGGTATAGACGTTATGGATGGAGTAGGATAGAGTTTTTTTTATTTTTTATTTTAAATTCGAGAAAGGGATTAATTGTTAAGACTAATAATATATTAATATTACAAAAAACATCACACATATATATATATATATATATATATATATATATATATATATATATGATAATAAAAAATTTAAGGAGAGGCGGCCGTCAACCCTAGATCCGCCCTTGCATCTGCAAAAATTTCTATGCTCCGTCCGTAATATGGAAGGGCAATACCTACTTGAGTGCTTGGGTTTCTGTCTTTATAATGTGAGGAAGACATGCTTGGAAGCTGAGTCATGTATTTATAAGATCCAACAAGCAGGTGTTAGAGTCATCCATAGTAGGTTCTGCGTTGCAGCGGGAGCAAATGGCAGAGATGGCCATGTAACTTCGAGGTCTAAGTTAGGGATCTACAAAATGGCCATGTAATATCGAGGTCTAAGTTAGGGATCTACAAAATAATCAAAAAGCTGAGCAGAACTATGAACTGATTAAAATAACCAGTTTTTAAAGAATCATTTCATAAACCGATCAGTTTTTAAAGAATCAGTTTACGAACCGAACCAATTTTTAAAATCAGTTCAAGAATCGAATCATTTTCGAACCGAACCGAATCATTTGTGAATCGAACCGAATCAAATTTTATTACTTTGTTTCTTTAATTTTTTCTTTCCAGAATAAGGTTGACCCGAACCAGTTCTGAACCGAACCAAATCGAACTGGTTTTGAATCGTACTGAACTGTTTTTGAACCAAATCATTTAAACCAATTCAGTTTGATTTTTCAAAAAATCCGATTTAATTCGACCCATACACACCGTTAGTCTAAGTGTAGGTATAATTATTAGCGGAGTGAGCTTTTTTCATAATAAGAGATAAAAATAAAAACTTAAAATTATAAGTATTTTTAAGATTAATAAAATATATTAATTATTATAAATATTTCTTAAAGAAAGACTAACTAATAGTATATTATTATATTAAAAAAATATTATTTTATACATAAAATAATAAACAAATTAAAATTTGGGAAGAGACTACCCCAGTAGTAATCCCTCTCTCGTCCACCCCCTGGGTATGACATTGTAGTGGAGCGTCATGCATGTAATTAATACCATTGGCCGATGATTCAGTTACGCATACACAACCTACTCGAGGTGCTGGAACAATGCAGCTTTGCATTATATATATATATATATTAGACGGATTTAGAAAATTTTATTTATCTGTGCATATTTAGTTCAAATATTTACTGGGGGGTTTAAGGGCAGTGGCTTTGAAAAAATATTTTTAAATAAAGTGTTAAATGCATTAAAAAATAAAAGAATATAAACAAAAAGGAATTATATATCCCTCATATTATCTGAACTAAATTTTTTGTCTTGTTAAGAAAAAGACAAGATCAATTCATTGAATATGTGTCATCTCACTTTTTTTTTTTGGTAATCTATCATCTCACTTTCTTTAATAGTATATAACTTATCTTTTTCTTAACATGACAAAAAATTTCGTTCATATAATATGAGGGTCCTCAAACAATAAAAGAAAAGAAAACTTCTACTTAACATAAAAAAATAGTAATCATCTTAATGATATACAACCACTAAAACATAAGCAATAAGATGTGTTTCTTTCTTAGTACTCGTGCTTGTATTCTTGGCAATGCAGCCACTAAAATGACTCCTTGAGTGATATTCCTAATTAATTAAAAAATATATCTCTTCTTTACTAAAAAAAAATGTATGACCAAATTTATGTGTGCATTTGCACACATTGGCAACCAAATAGGTCCGCCAACGTGTGTGTGTGTATATATATATATATATTTGAGATATTCCAATCGATTTAACGCTTCATGATTAGTCTGATTCGAGACAGATTTTGAAATTAAAATTTTAAATCTTTTTTAAATACATACTCTCACCCCCACTTATTTAATTTTATAACACCAACTGAATTATCATCATTTACTTGTGCTGTATACATTAGCAGACAAGTGATTTTTTATTTATTCTTTTTGGGTATGCTACCAGGCAAGTGGTCTATGTACGAGTAACATGGTGTTGGATTTGAACATATATGAATTAAATCTCAATATGCTGGCCCATTATATCTTTCCAGCTCAAAGAAATGAAAACACGATAACCAATAGCAGGGTGTGCAATTCTGAATCTGGAGATTCAAAATTTTTATGGTATGCCTATAATTTGTTTGTATTATAAAATAAAATAGTTTTGAGAAATATAAAAGATCTAAATCCAAGAATTTGATATAATTTTAATTTTAATTATTTACTTTTTTTAAATGTTGTACTTATATATAATAATCATACACAGAACATATCAGGCTTTGTAATTTCGGATTCGACATGTACTTCCAAAATACATCAGGATTGATATATTAAGCTTTACAATACAGTTCTCTTAAAAAAAAGGCACATGACTGTTTAAAGTTGGGAAGGGCACACGGGTATTTGTGAGTGAGATACTAGTATTTTTGATTTGAAACTATTAATTATTGCATCAATTTCATGATTCATGCCTGCGGAAAAGCACACAGCACATATATTATATTCCCCCATTTTACTTTTATTGAAAGTGCCTTTCAATCAGGATAGAACTAGAAACACATAGGATAACCAAATTATTATTTAAAATAGAGGGACATTAATAATCAAAAAAATTATAAATTAAGGGTGACTTTATAATTTTGGAAATTCTGCCATTCTTGTAAACTTTTTAAAAATACGAACAGAGGAAAATATACGAGTTCACATTACTTGGTCCGTTTTGAAAAATATCCTCATAATAAAGATAAAAATATATATAACAGAATAACAATTTAAAGTATCATACTTAAAACCAAGATTTATGGTCATTCTGTTTTAAAATATTTATTAATAATTTAAACGTTATATCTAAATGATACCAAAGTGGCTTTTGCAGGATATATCCTGGAATCAAAATATTTATGATTAAATTTAAATCAAATCATGTTCTTGAGCAAAAAAATTACATTTTTTTTTTATAAATGTAATTTAAAAGATTTAAATATAGTACCAGATTAAAATACAATACCTAATGTACACACATCGAGAATTAGTAATTTCATCAATGTGAAAGTTATTTATTTTGGCTATTTACTATCAGTAATAAGATGAATCAAAATCATTTATAGAAGAACACTGGCTAAGGATTCTTAATGATATACTTATTTTTAAACATTAGTCATTTAGATTTTTTTGATAAAGAATAAAAAAGTCATTGAAAGCTTTTAATTAAAAAATAAAATAAAAATACATCTGATTTATTGAGAATCAAGGTAAAATCGGAAAACAAAATAATTAATATTTATGAGCAATAACGATGATATCATCGCACGCGCAGCAGAAATAGAAGGTTCCAAAAACCAGCGTGGCGCCGAAATGGAAGGTTCGTGATTCGATTGGCGCAAATGAAAGGCCATTTTAGTGTGTCAGAGTCAGTCATATGATTCACTCTCTCTCTCTCTTTCTTTCTCTGACTCTGAAGCATTTTTTTTTTTTTTTTTTTTTAACCCACTTTACCCATTTTCATAATCTGAAGCAACATCGATTTCCGTTCCCTCAAAATTCAAAATAAACATGGAATTGGAATCTCGAAAATTGGTGGCTTTGCTTTCTTCACTAATCTCACAGCTTATGCTTCTCCTTCTCCTCATTTTCCCTTCCAATTCTTCTATTTCCAATTCCAATTCCAATTCTAATTCCAATTCCGATTCTGTTATCCCTCTCATCCACCACTTCCTCTTCTCTCACCAAGTCGCTGTCACCCTCTCCCGCAAACGCAAACGCAAACGCGAACCCGATTCCGACAAAGATGACCCGTTTGTAACCGGGCTTCCAACTCGGAGCCCCGACTCGTTCCGTAACTGCTTCATGATGACGTCTTCAACGTTCGAGTGGCTCGCCGGCCTCCTCGAGCCACTTTTGGATTGCCGCGACCCCGCCGAGCTCTTCCCGCTTAACCTCACCGCCGGCGTTCGACTCGGCATCGGACTCTTCCGCCTCGCCAACGGCTCTGACTACACCGAAATCTCTAACCGATTCGGCGTGTCCGTTTCTGTCGCCAGGTTCTGCGTGAAGCAGTTATGCAGGGTTCTCTGCACCAACTTCCGGTTCTGGGTTTCGTTCCCGAACCATAACGAGCTTGAGTCTGTGTCGAAAGGCTTCGAGGGTATCTCCGGTTTGCCCAATTGCTGCGGCGTCGTTGAATGTTCGAGGTTCGGGGTGGTCAACGCCGCAACCTCAAACGAAGAATGCGTGGCTGCACAGATAGTGGTTGATTCCTCGTGGCGAATTTTGAGCATCGTGGCTGGGTTTTTGGGCGATAAGAGCAATTCGAGGATCTTAAAGGCGTCGACTTTGTTCAAGGACATTGAAGGAGGGTTGTTGTTGAACGCTAATCCTGTTAACTCTGTGAATCAGTATTTGATTGGTGATTCCGGGTACCCTTTGCTTCCTTGGTTGATGGTTCCTTTTGTTGAGACAGTTCCTGGTTCTGTTGAGGGGAATTTCAATGCGGCTCATGATGCTATGCGTCTTCCTGCTCTCAGAACTGTTGCTAGCTTGAAGAATTGGGGTGTTTTGAATCGACCTGTTTGTGAGGAACTCAAGATGGCTGTGGCTTATATTGGTGCTTGTTCCATTCTTCATAATAGTTTGTTGATGAGGGAGGATTTTTCTGCTTTGGCTGGTGGCTTTGAAGATTATTGCCATCAAAACTATACTAGTGAGTCTTGTAGATTGGAGGATGATCATGTCACGAGCAAGGCTTTGGTTATGCGTAACACGTTGGCTTCAATGGCAAAGAGAATTCATAATTCAAATTCTTAATTGGGGTTGGGAAGCTATTCATTGACGATGCTCCAAGATGTACGCAATTTTTCAGCTTCCTCTGTGGATGGGAGAATGTAAATAATACCTCTTGAGCATTGTTTTTTTTTTTTAATTGTTTTTAATACTCAATAAATGGTTCTTTACTTTTGATATGCATCTATAATATCTCAGCTTCTTGATTCAGATGCGGATATTCGGATGTTGATCAGAAGTCTTTGGATGTTATACCTCTGGCTTTAATTTGGATGGACATAATTAGTGTTTTTGTGGTGCTTGAGAATTGAAGAACCGAACAGTTAAAGGTTTGGTTATTGATGGTTTTATGTTGGCTTTTGGTTGATGAACAGTGAACTCATTGCATTCCCAGAGACAATTGAACTTGTTTATGTTGCCCTTAGTTCTGGTCTGACTTTCATCAGGGTTTTCTTGTGGGGTGATACCCGTAGGGCTTGATGGAATGTGTGAATTTCAATATGCTAAATACGTTAAGAAAAAAAAAATTTGCTTTGCAAACTGCACCCAAAAAATTAATAGAAGTTGCAGTTAGAAAAGATTTGGTCATTTGAGGGTGAGTTATGCAAAACTTGATCCCTGTCGATCATTCGTGCCCAAATTGACATCTAGATGAATGGAAGGACAGGCATGTGATGCATGGTTTTTTTATCTAAAATTATATTGCTTGGACCTACTAAACCAGTTTATCATTCAAACTCGATGATATATTTTTGTAACTACATATAAGGAGCATTAAAATCACAATTCTCAGGATCCCTTTGATCCTTTTGTCTTTTGCTTATTTAAATCTCCAGGTAGTTGCATGATGCCTACTTGATTATTGTATTGATTGGTTAGAGTTGCTGCCTTTGTTGCCCTTGTAAATGATTCTTAGTGGTTGAATAATTTATTGACAAACAATTTTCTTATATTCTGTTGTCTTGTATTTAGTTGGAATTCCTTCAATAATTCTTTCTCATTGACATTCCTTCCCCCCTTCCCCAACCCTCTTTCCTTTTGGCACCCATTGTTCTGACTATATAATTGATGACTTTACAACAGAGCATCCTGGGCGACTTAAGTGCTTTAGACTCAACACAGACAATGACATGCGAAGTGCTGAAGACTCTGAAACTAAGGTTGTACCAGTGGTTTTGTTGTTTAAAAGTGGCTGGAAATGTGACACTGTATGTGGTGCCACTCTAAGTAGTTTTATGTGGCTGCCATTGAGATTTGAGAGGGTGTTGAAGTTAAACATGGATCAGTGCAGAAAAGGTTATAAACATTTGCCCTTTCATGTTATGTTGATTTTTTTGTTGAATTTTTGGTACTTTATCATACTTCTGAATATTACTTTGTATTGCATATATCTTATGTACTTTCTTCCATAATAGGTGCGGGACTGCTAATGATCCGCGTTCACTCTATTTCTTCTTTGAAATGTCATGTTGAGGTACAAAGACTATCACAGTTAATTTGATTGTTCTTCTGTTGCTTGATTTGAACAGTAGCTGTTATTCTGAAAGACCTTTTTGATTACCATATAAGCTTCTTCCGCTAATGATCACAGCATGACATGAATTCATATACGTTGGTAGTTGATCTGTAATCAAGAGTGTGTTTTACTGATGTAATAACAAAATTATCATCAAATTATAATTCTGAAATCAGAGAAAAGGTATTCATGCCCACGGTAGCCAAGTGCGAAGCGGATAACTTCTGAAAGCATCTAACTAGTAAGCCCTTCCAAGATGAGTGCTCTCCTATTCCAACTTCCTATACTAAAGTCAAATTCACTTGTTTTTACGAGTAAATAGAGTAAATAAAAAATTAGCAATAATAAATATGGCTGTCATATTTTAATTTTATAATCATATGTTATATAATTCAGATGTTAAGAGGAACAAAGATTTTGTACTTATATTTTTATTTGATGATATATACATTTCAACATTTCTTATTGGCCCGGAGCATTATTAGTGGCTAATTTTTTGTTTGATTATTTAGATAATATTATCATTCAAATTTAAATAATTGTATTTACAAAATTTGAAAACAACCCTCTGCTAATTATGAGTTTTGATTGTGTTATGTTTTTTTTTCTTCTTAAAATAGAACTTCTGCTAATTTTTTTTACAAATAAAATATATGTTTTTTTATTTTTATTTTTAGAATAGTTAATGAAATAAGTGTATTCTATATTTTTCTTATTTTGAAAGTTAAAACTCAAAATATGAATAAAAACAACTGAGATCGGGTCTGTTGGACTATGTTCTGCTTTTTTATTCTTAAAACTGTTTTGTAGAATAGATAACAAGACAAGTGCCTTCTATGTTTTTTTTTTTTTAAGTTAAAAATTGAAACACAAAACACAAATAACTTAGACATATTCTCTAAATTTGATTCTAAAAATCAACAAATAGTTACAGTTTTTTAATTTTTTAATTTTTTAATTTTTTTTTACAAAACAGACCTTATCAAACCAATTTTTTTGTTCTGAAAATCGAAAAGCTATTTTTCAGAATAGATCTCAAACAGGCTATGTTTTCTAAATTTTATTCTAAAAGCTAAAAAATAGTTATTATTTTTATAAAGGGTTTTATAAGAGTTATGTTGTAGGAAAAATGATTCTATAATGTTATAGAGATTCGTTTTGCGTCCCGTAGTTTTTTTTTTATTCAAAAAGTGTGAGCTTCACAAAATATTGTGTGTAGGAAACTTTCTTGTGTCATGTTAAATGTCATGTTAAATGATAAATGCAAACCTCTTTTATAAAACATGTTTTATTAAACAAGTTTGTTTTCCTTCCAAAAATTAAACACTATTTTTGGAAACAGAATTCAAACAAGCCCTCTGTTTCTTGTTTGCATTTCGTTTTCCATTAAAAAATAGTAACGTAATATAATATTTGGCATTTTGGTTTAAAAGGATAAGATGATAGAAAATTGAAACAAGTACTCACGGGGATGATTTTATTTTTTGCTTTAATATTTCTACAGTGAATATAGATAAGTTATTCATATTCACTTTCAAAACGATGTCGTTTTGCGTTGCAAGATTAAAAAATTATAATAAAAAAGACTATTATAACCTTAAAATAAATTATAATTATAAAAATACATTGATTTTCGCTCCCAAAACAACGTTGTTTTAAGTTCATTTTTTCTGCAGTCATAGTTAAGTTATTTACATTGAGCCCAAAATAACGTTGTTTTGGGCTCAATGTAAATAACTTATCTATGACTGCAGAAAAATGAACCCTTTATTTTTTTGCCACAAATACAAAGGATACACTTGAAGAAATAGGGAAAATGGAATAATAACTTCTAAAAAGATATTTTTTCGGAAATGGATCTTCTCATGTTTAAAAAAAAATTGACATGGTTATGTGAGACAATCATAATCATACAAAGATAAATCAACAGTTATGATTTAGTAACTACCTATTTTAATATTTATTCTCTCTCCTCTTTTATCATTATTGATCCACTTTTATATGATTATTTCCACTTCCATATTTTTGTTATTCTCCATAATCCATTGTAAAAATGAAAATAAAAAGTAAAACAAAATTACAACGTAAGGTTATACAAATGTGAAACTGTCTGCTATGAAATGAAGGGGAAGAGATGACGATGAAAAGACATATTTCTAGATAAAATAAGTAGAATTGTGATTATTATTCTTCAATTGCTTTTAATACAAAGGATTACAATAATGAACGAAAGAGTTAATACTCCATTAGTATATGAGAAAAGTGTTTGTCATTTTAAATGACATAACACTATGTTCTTTTAAGAGAGACAGACACAAAAAAAAAATTATTTAAATTTTAAATTAAAAAAAATCACTCACTTTCTCTCTCCTCTGATTTTTATTTTTTTGTGTCTATCTCTCTTCTAAAATAACATAACTTATATCATTTAAAAATGACAAACACCAAACCCTTAGTATAATGGTTACGAAATTATATATGGGGAATAATTACATTACCAACCGTTACAACAAATTCAATTCATCCACAAATTAGTATTTAACACAGAAACCTACTTTTTGATAACAACAGGAAACCTCTTTCAACAACCGGTGAAAGTATATTTCCCCAGTTTCATCAAATAGCTTGAAAAAAACTCAATATTCTCAATCTTGGTCATATTACAGAATTCACACCTTCCCATCAAATAGAATGCTCCTCTTCCTTAACCCAACCCTAATACCCCAAAACAAAAGAATGTTCCTAACATCAAATATACATAGGGAAATATTAGTCTCCTTTTACGTAAGATTACTTATCTCCTACTCTCTCACTTTGATTTCCGCACTTCATCTTTTTCTTTTTCTTGTAATGGTGGGACCCACTTATTTTCTCTCTACAATATAAGATACCTATCTTACGTTGAATAAGAATAATAAAACCCATATACATATTACAGAATTCAGATGCATGAATACTACCAAAAGGGATGCATGTGGTTTTTAAAAAAGGATTTAGGCTAACGCGCATTTGCTTGTGGCTATAATAGAGACCATGTGGGCTTTTTATTTGATAAAGGCAACAAGCCCAATGTGTGTTACGTAATATCATACTAAAGTAAAATTAATCTACTGAATAATAATGAGAATTAGTGTTTGACCTTTTGGAGATTATCCTGATAATCCTATAGTGTTTGACTAGGGTTATAAATAGGATATGCAGGCCTATTGGGGCCTAAGTCTAGTCTATATTAAGTCAAGATTAATTTACTACAAATAGTCAAATAGAATAGACTTAGACTTTAAAAAAAATCTATTTAGAAAGCAAATCATAGATTTTTGTGTGTGTACATGTTGGGTCTATAAACCTATAGGCCCCCCTATATTATATTATTTATTTTAAATAAAATAATTATTTTAATAATTTTAAATAATAAAATAATATTATTTTAATTATAAAATATTTAATAGGCTTAAACACGGTGTTTTAAAACCTCACCCCGTCTCCTGGGTTAACACGGGTCAAACCTGATCCCTCCCTTCTAAGGGTTGGGGTCACAAGTTGGACCCTATATGCATATCGACCCCTCCGACCCCCAAAATCTGGTCAGGTTTTAGTGACTCCCGGGTCATAGGGGTCAAAGAGGGTCTCTGCATATATTTTTTTTAAAATTTTTTTCATGAAACAACATCGTTTATTAAAAAAATAAAATAAAAATACTTGCAAACCTAAATCTAATCGTTCTCTTCTCTCCCAGCGACCTAAACGTCTTCAATCTTCACCTCGCTGCCGTGAATCTTCTAGAAAAGGTAAGAATTTTATCCATTCAAATGAAATCCTTACGGTCGTCGATGGAAAACAAAAACTTATTCTTACTTCCTTTAAATTTTCTCTTGTTAGGGACCTTTTCAAAAGAGGCAGAACCGGGTCATCATAGTGACCCATTAGAATATGAGTTTTGTATTTTAGTATCTTAATACTATAATTAGGTTGTGTAATATTGACTTGTGGTTGTAATTGGTGAATTAGGTTAAGTATATTTTGAATCTTTGATGATTGGTGGTTTATTTTTTAATATTTTCATATCAGATATATATATTTATATTTCTTTAATATATAAAATCGGGTCAGCATAGTGACCCCATGACCCCCGGTTGAACCCGTGACCCCATGACCCCCGACCTCGGCCGGGTCGATGGCTGGGCCGAATTTTTAAACACTGCTTAAACAGACTAACAGGCCGAGCCAAACTTTTATTTTTTAAATATAGGTTAGGCCAAACTTGTAGTTTGGGCCTACATATGAAAATAGGTCAAGGCAAACCTAAGTTTTTTTTACACAAGCCTGGTCTATTTAAGTCAAAGCCTAACCTAGCATAGCTTATTTACACCCTATATTTGATCTTTTAAAAGATACGAAAAATATGTCATTTTAATCAATTTTAATCAAAATTACAGTGTTTTATAATGAAAGAAGTAATTATTCAATAAAAATTAAGAGAAAGTAGAAGTTTTTTTAATTTAAATATTAAATAAAATTAATTATTTTAACTAAAATCTTTAAAAAATATAAATATTTTTCCTATAATAATAATAATAATATGAATAAATTATTCTACCTAGCTTTTTTTCCCCTGTCTTTGCCTATCACTTTTTAATATTAGATCAGAATCTCAATAAGAGAGAAAAATGATAAAGATAATTGAGATTCTGATTTAATTATTTTGGAGAATGATAGGTAAAGGCTTTTTAACCCTTTTGTCCCTTATTAATTAATTAATAACCATTTTGCCCTTTACTCAGAACTATCTACCAATCTGTCCCTCTTTAATCGATTAACTTGAAGATTTAATCGATTAAATGGTCAAAGCTGGAAAAAATAGTTGACTTGAAGATTTAATCGATTAAATCTTCAAGTTAATCCATTAAATCTCTCTCTTAATTGATTTAATTGATTAAAACTTATATTTAATCGATTAAATATCCGAAATGAGCGTGAAAGCATTGATACTAACTCGTAAAATGACAACTCTTAATAAAACGCAATCAGCTCTTATTAAATACAAAACACAATCAACTCCTGTTATGAAATACAAAACACAATCACCTTCTATTAAATACAAAACACAATCACCTTCTATTAAATGTAAAACACGCAATCAGCTCCTATTAAATACAAAACGCAATCAGCTCCTATCAAATCGCAATAGGCAACAAAGGTCTAATAGGAGCTGATTGCGTTTTGTATTTAATAGGAGCTGATTGCGTTTTGTATTTAAAAGAAGATGATTGCGTTTTGTACTTAAGAGGAATTGATTGCGAATCTTGAGTTTAATAGGAGCTGATTGCGTTCTGTATTTAATAATATGAGTTGATTGTGTTTTGTATTTAATAAGAGCTGATTGCGTTTTATTAAGAGTTGCCATTTTACGAGTTGGTATCAATGATTTCACGCTCATTTGAGATATTTAATCGATTAAATATAAGTTTTAATCGATTAAATCAATTAAGAGGGAGATTTAATCGATTAACTTGAAGATTTAATCGATTAAATCTCCAAGTCAACCATTTTTTTCCAGTTTTGACCATTTAATCGATTAAATCTTCAAGTTAATCGATTAAAGAGAAACATATTAGTAGATAGTTCTGAATAAGGGGCAAAATAATTATTAATTAATTAATAAGAGGCAAAATGGTCAAATAGCCGATAGGTAAAAGTAAGTAAAAAAAAAAGGTAAAATAATCTATCTTATAATAATATTAATAATAATAGGAAAAAATGTTTGTCATTTTAAATGACATAAAGTTATGTCATTTTAAGAGAGATAGACACAAAATAATAATTTTTTATTTAAAATTTAAATTAAAAAAACCACTCACTTTCTCTCACATGATTTCTATTTCTTGTGTCTATCTCTCTACTAAAATGACATAACTTATATCATTTAAAATTACAAATGATAAAAATAACAGTAAAAGTAAAATCTTAAGGGTGTGTTTGGTACAAGAGAAATTTTTTTGTGACCGGGAATCATGATTAATGGAAATTCAATAGAAATTGAGTTTACTTGGAATCTTATAAAAGAGGTGTTTGGTTCGCCAAAATATTACTGGGAATATTGGGTAAAAATTACTGATTTCATATTTGGTTTAGAACGAAATATGACTTGGAATATGAGGTTATTTTACAAAAATAACCCCAAACTATTTTTACTTTTGTAATTGATAGATTGGGTCTAGATTTTTATGTGTATTGAGATATTTTTGTCTCAAAATTTATTGTTGTGCTTTCCCTTTACTTGGTATTCCGAATTACCATATTATTTTTGGTAATCTGAATAGTGACTTTTCTTTATAAATCAAATTACCGGTAATCCTTGTATAGCCGGGAATCGTAATTTATTCCTTCTACCAAACGTGGTAATTACATTTACCAAAGAAGAATTACCGGTAATCATCTTCAAAAACTTGAACCAAACACCAGCTTTTTAATTTTCACACTTCTCGACAAGGCTAAAATCTCAGATTGAAAAGAAACCCATCATCCACCGAACCCAACTTGCCGTATCCTTGTTCCTTCGCCAGGTTCTCTCTCTCTCTCTCTCTGATAGTTCAATAATTATGCTTTTCTTGTTTGGTAATGATCTTGGGGATTGATCTTTCATTTGCTTCTTAATCAGGACCTTCACCTTCTCACGGATTCTTGTACCCTCTTCAGGTATAAGCACCTGATTTGATTCCCCATTGAACCGCCTCAATAATTCTCCAAGTACTGCCGCTAAGTATTGGTACTTATTATTTATTTTCTTCAGTGCCCCTCCTTTCTTTCTTTCTTTCTTTTTTCTAAAATAAAAATATATATAATATTGATAAGATTTGGTGTGAGATTTTGGGTTTTGAGTTCCCTGCTCTTTCTTAGTAAAGTTGAAATTTTTGCTCCGATTTGGTTTTGATTAAAGCAATTCCTGCTAAGTAGCCTGTAGAAGTGAGCAATTTGGAAGGAATATTGCTGTTTTCTGTTCAAATATGCGGTTTTTATAGTAGAATTTCTTTTCTCTGAAATTTTCCTTCCCAGACCTTGGTGGGTGGAGCTTGAAATGTTTACTGGTTAAGCGTTTTAAGTACTTTGTTGTATGGATAAGTGTTAGAAGTCGCATAAAGTATGTTTCTTTTGATTTGGGTTGTTAACCTTGATCTCATTGGGATCATGGTTCAATTTATGCTATGATGCAGGGTGAGAGTTGGGAATATTCGTTGTGGAGTTCTTATATTTCAATCACTCAGTGTGTGTGTGTTTTGTGTGGGGGGGGGGGGGGGGGGGGGGTATCATTAAGTGATGATAGACCATTATAAAACTGGGAAAAGTGAACAAGGCTCTGCCATAGTCTTATAATTGGGATTACCTAATCATCCATTAATATAGGCTAAATACATGAACTGAACTGATGCACATAAAGTTTCTTTGACTTTGACACACAGGTAGCTTTGCTTCTAGGTTTAGTGATTTTAATTACAATTTGGTAGCCCATGATGATACTTGCTAGACTTGAGACTCTTAACCTGCTTATGATTGAAGGAAAAAAGTCCCTTTGCTCTTTACCTACTTCTGTGGATAGCACTTATGGTGCAGCAAGTACCTCCATTTTGGGGATCATGGCTTGATTATCCATGCCTATAACCTTGTCTTCTCACTATCTTGCTATATGATGTTTTTGGGTATTTGTTTTGTTTACTCATATCTTCATTCCATTCTGTGCAGGAAGTTTTGATTTTCTAGTACATTTATGGCTACCCCAAATAAATCAACTCTAGTAATGCCTTCAGAATCCTTGGAACAGATGGGAAAAAATACCACTGAATCAAATGCAAACATGCCTCAATGTCCTTTAAGCCCACAACTCCGTAGCTCCTTAGATGGTCCGGTAGCTATCCTTTGGGATATTGAAAATTGTTCTGTTCCAAGTGATGTGCGCCCTGAAGATGTGGCAGGTAATATAAGAATGGCTTTACGGGTGCACCCAGTAATTAGAGGAGCTGTTATGATGTTTTCTGCTTATGGGGATTTCAATGCTTTCCCTAGGCGACTTAGAGAGGGCTGTCAGAGAACTGGTGTTAAACTCATTGATGTTCCCAATGGGAGAAAAGATGCTGCTGACAAAGCTATCTTGGTCGACATGTTCTTATTTGCACTTGACAACCCTCCACCATCCTCTATCATGCTAATATCTGGAGATGTTGATTTTGCACCAGCCCTTCACATTCTCGGTCAGCGGGGATATACTGTAATTCTTGTCATCCCTGCTGGGGTGGGTGTTTCTTCTGCCCTATGCAATGCTGGTAAATTTGTCTGGGACTGGCAGAGTGTGGTTCGTGGAGAGGGCTTTGTTCCCCCTTCAAAGGCCTTAGTGCCGCCTCGTGGAGGTTCTGTTGAGCTTACTGGATATTTGATGGGATGTCATATCAATGACAATTCTGATGGTCCAAATGAAGAAGAAGCAATAGTTTATAGGGGGATGTCACATAGCTATTATAACTCGAGGGAATTCTCAATGGTGTCACAATCTCTCTCTGAATACAATGGTGGCACATCGAACATGTCTTGCTTGCCGACAACTTTGAGATCACATAGTCTTCCATCTGGATTGAATGATGCTTCAGGAGGACCTATGCCTTATAGTGACCATAATGAATGCCCATTATGGGTGCAGCCTGGGGATTTAAATGGTCTCAAGGGCCAGCTGGTAAGGTTGCTTGAACTTTCTGGAGGATACCTGCCTCTGGCCCGAGTTCCAGCAGAGTACCAGAAAACTTATGGGAGACCTCTTTATGTAGCTGAATATGGGGCAATGAAGTTGGTTAATCTTTTCAAGAAGATGGGTGATACCATGACTGTGGAAGGGAAAGGGCATCATAAAATTGTGTGTCTCAGGAACTGGAAGGCTGGCCCAAGTGCTCCTCCCCTATCTCTGGCAAAGAAAGATAAGAAAGGAAAGGGGAGCCAGGAAAAGAATGCGTATGTTGTCACTGGTAGCTGCTCTTCGGATGAGTTCTCAGATGAAGATAGATTAGTCATAGAAGAACTTGATGAAAGAAGTTGCACAGGAAAGGGTAATCAGGGGAGACCAGCCAGATGTGAAATTGATGACCGTATTCTTGAGCAGTTCAAGTTCGAGCTGCAAGAGATTCTAGTCAGCTATTCTTGTCGAATATTCCTAGGTTGTTTTGAGGCTATATACCAGCAAAGGTACAAGAAACAATTGGAATATCAGAGATTTGGTGTGGACAAGTTGGAGGATTTGTTGGAGAAAGTGAATGATGTGGTAGTATTGCATGAGGAACCGGTAAGCAAGAGGAAGTTCCTTGCTGCTGTGGGTGGTTAGAAAACTTACACGAGGGACCGCTATTTGTTTTAACCTTTTCTGGTGTTTTTTTTAACTTAATGTTTTCGATTAATGGTCAGGAAATACTTATTCTCTCTATCAACCTCAACCTTTTCTGTTTATTTATTTCTTCAAAGTCTTGTAAAAATGATATGCTGGGCGTAAGTGTTTTTTTATAGTCACGGGTCCTGCATTTTATTTGAATCTTTCCTAAAATTTATGTGTTGCTTATATCCGGTCTCTGCAACCCATTAGCTAGCTACTTATAGGAGTTGGGAGATATGTAAAAGTAGTAGCTTTTGTACTTTTATCTTGTATCCAAACTCAATATCTATATACAATTTTTCTATACATGACTTATAGAGATATTGATTACTAGTAGAACATCATTCTTTTTATGGTTTTGTACATGGAATGTTCAGTGGAAGTTTCTTGATTATGACCCATTATGAAATGATTATAGAAGTTTTTATTTGTTGTTTAAATAAAATTTTAATTCTTATAATATTTCTCTATTAGGTTTTAGTCTTTATAATTTTTTTTTTTTTTTTTTTTTTTTATAAACATCAGTTTTTATATTTTTACTTATTTGGATTTTAGGCTCTAAAAAATCAATACCTTGATGAATTGAATTTATAAGGTATAAAAATCAACGCCTAAACTTTCATAAAATAATAATAATAATGAGTAAAATCAGTAAGGTATAAAACTCAAATTAATAGAAAATATAAATGAGTAAAAATATATAGACTAATAGAAAGTATAAGAATCAGGACATTTTTATCTTAGAGAAAGTATATTGGATTAGGATTTTAAAAGATAATTTTGAGATAATTTTTTTTATACTTTTTAAAATATTTTTTTTACAATCAAAATTTTATAAAATTAGATTTTAAATGATTTTGATAAAATTTATAAAATTTGAAAGAAATATGGATTTATAAGATTTTAAAAAATTATATGAATTTTTAACAAACATTCAAAATTACAAGAGTCAATAAAAAAATAAAGAAATGCAATGATACTAATAAAAATAGTAAAACCTAATAAATATTTTCAATTAGTAATTCGATGTAACTAGATATCCTACTAAGCAGCAACTCTCCACATATCTATACTAACACTCCACGTATTAGCATCTTCTCGTTTTTGCTTTTGGGTTTGACCAATGAGTTGAAAAGTATCTTCTTCATTTGATATTAGAGCTATGTATATACGATTATAAGACCCACAATTTTTTTATTTATTAAAATAATTCAAAATTTGCATGAAAGTTTAGGGGAATTTCTAAATTTATTTTCATCAATATATTAAACTTTAAATTGCTTTGTGGCTTTTGAAAAAGAAGTTTTCATCAATCTATTTGCATGAAAGAGGCATCCTATTTATACTTATCACTAAAAAGTTTCACAAAATTCACACTAATAAAAAATTCACTAAAACCATCAAATTTTTGAATAAATATTTTTCCTTTGTATAAAATCCTGATTGAATACCATCGAATTTGAATAGACTCTAAAATAATCTTTTAAAATCTTAATTGTATACCAAATGACTTTTTTTTAATCCTTTAAAATCCTACTTGAATACCAATGATTTTTTTTGGGTCCAAAAACAATCAATTAAAATCTTTAAAATCTCAATCCAATACACCCCGTTAATAAACAAAGTTACAGGGTTTATGTATTGCAAGTTTGCAGCTTCTCATACAGAGTTACACCTGTACCTGGAGCTTACCCTTCGGAAACACGCCTAGCAAAGAAGAAACTGCATGCATGCCTATAGACTTGAAATTTGTCAATGAAAAAGCCTCAGTTACAGGGCATTGTAATTTGTAGATTTAAAAGGTAATCTTGAAACAATTCTTAAAAAGTGTTATATCGATAAACAATTAAACATTGCTCATGTTTCTTTAGTTAAACTATTTGCAACTGCAAGCCAATGCGGATGATAGAAGCAAAGAAAGTACTATATTCTAATCTCTCCCAAGACTTTAACATATGGACGCTTTAAGAGTTTTCCTACTTCTAACAAATCCACAAAGTTGAAGTCAGTAAGTAAATGAGAAACTCCATTAAACTTGAAGAACCTAATGAATGTTTCAGACTGAGAATATATTTGACGGGGACTCTGGAGAGCCATTCTCAAGCAAAAAGCTTCTACTGCAATATGAACGAGATGTACTTGAAGATGAAGCAAGATATCTTCCATCCCCGCTGTTAAAAATTGCTTCGTTTCTGAGCATTTTCCCTTTGCTTCTTCTGCCTCTCTGCTGATTTCCCTGACATTCTTCAACAGCTTGTAGAAACTCACTGTGCATTGGTTCTGATGTCTCATAAAGAAGCCTGAGGACCTGTTTTATTGAAGGCCTTGCTCTTCCTTCTCTTTGGGTGCACCATCCTACTATAGAAATTACTGTTTGGAGCTGATCCAAGTCAAAAGACTCCCTCACATTGGGATCTACTAGCTCCAATAGTCTTGTTTCTGATTCCATGTATGGTTGGGCCCATTCTACCAAATTCTTATTATCTTGAATAGCTCGTCTTCCTGTCACAATTTCCAGTAGTAACACTCCAAAACTGTATATATCGCTTTTCTCAGTGAGCTCTTGAGTAACAACATATTCAGGATCCATATAACCTGGAATGCAATTAACATCTGGAATTCAGTAGTATCAATGATAGAGGGTTTATACCTGGAGTTCCCCAGATATAGAACCATCTTTTGAAGCATTTACAAGGCCAAAATCAGCTAACTGAAATACAATTAAGAAGAAAAGAACTTTATACCTGGAGTTCCCCGGATTTCGGTGTTTACAGGTTCAAAGCTTATCGAACCATCTTTTGAAGCTTGTGCAAGGCCAAAATCAGCTATCTATGAAATGGTGTAACATGTGAAAAAGAAATTAGTAAACACTTGACAGCATCTAATGGGACAGTTTAAATTTGCACTATCCATGTATAACATATAAGTTTAGCGCTGTCTTGAACTATCTGACTACAAAAAGACAATGAATATTAACAAGTGAAATGATGATATACAATCAGAGAAGCATCCAACCTTAGCAACAAAGTTCTCATCCAATAAAGTGTTGCTAGACTTAATGTCTCTGTGACACAGAGGAGGATCACAATAGAAATGAAGGTATTCCTGCACGTGAGAGAAAATGAGATTGAAAATAAAATCTATAAAGTTATTAAAAGAATAAAAATAAAAGTGAAAGTATTAAAAGCTGTCAGCCAGTCAATTCTGAAAAAGCTTGAAACTAAAGCAATCAATCATAGTTAGAGAAAATACCAGGGCATTAGCCACGTCAATGGCAATTTGGATTCTAGCTCCCCAACTTAAAGGTGTTTTACCAGGGGCTGTACAAATCAACAAAATATATCAAAATGAGAATAAGGGGTTAATAGGGGAAACAAGCTAACACAGCGATCTTTTCAGCACTACTTTGATGTTATTATTTTGTTGCATAATATGTATTATTGTCATGTACAGTATGGCTGAAGGTGCTATGAGTTAGAAAAAGATGCAGAAAAGCACACAAGATCCACATGAACAAGGAAAAATGCACATGAGAGAGGGAGATTGAGGTTCCATTTGTAATCCGACCAAATAATATCCTATGGTATTGATAACAATGTATAGATATTGAAAGGCATACAATGAAGATGGTCTTTTAAGCTTCCATTTCCCATGTACTCATACAACAGAAACCTGCCATCAGACATGTAGAAGAGTTTGATTTGCAGGCATATGATGTTGAAGAACATAAGTAAGCACATGGAAACAGATACCTCTCATGCTTTTTAATGCAAAAGCCTCTTAAAGCAACAAGATGACGATGGTGCAGCCGAGCAAGAAGCTCAATTTCTCTGCAGAACTCATCCTCCCCCTGCTCAGAGATTCTGTTCATCCGCTTTACTGCTGCCACCAGGCCATCACTAAAATGAGCTTTATACACTGTTCCAAATCCCCCTTGGCCAATGATGGTGCTAAAATCCTCTGTTGCCTTCTTTATCTCCCTGTAGTTGAATTTTCGGAACATTGATGAACCTGCATAACACCCCCCCACCCCCCACCAAAAAAAAGAAGCAAAAGATCCAAGAAAAAAATTAATAAATAAAGCGCTGGTTTTCACATGTCATAATAAGAAATAAAATAAACAGAACAAAAGAGATAAACCCTAACCTTACCTTCCTGAAATTTCCATGTTGAACAAGGAGGTAAGGTTTTCGAACAGGTTTTACCAAAATTATCAGGCTCATCTAGCTCTCTGCTTTTCTGGCGAATTAGAACTATCAAGACTATGAGCGTCATAATAGCAACAGCTGTGACTGCAATAGCAATACCTGGAACTAATGTCAGGTGATATGAATGATGGTTTCCCTTAAAAGGTACACCTAACAATAGTTGACTTGGACTATCAGCAACATGTGGACTTGGAGAAGCCTCAGGAGTAGGCAAGGATGGGGATGACTCTGAAACTAGCATCACAGTTGGAAAAATGTGATCGGTTAAGTTTTACTCTATCAGTAACAATACAGAGTCTTCATTGTATACTTTAAATAAATATTTGATGGGAAAAAATAAAATAAAAGATCAGTCATTTGGCACACATATATGGATAGAACTAGACTTTATCCCGTTTTCCAAGCATAATTAAGCTTTAGAATGAATTTTGAATACTGTTTTCCATTCATGCCTTGACATACCAGCGGAATGGGATTTGTGCAACCATCGCTTATTTGGCGAGAAGCTATTATGAGAAGGATCTATAACATTCTAAAATAGAGATCTCACCCAATCTTATTAGCTTCCCATCTTAATAAGTCACATACATAACATACATATAACTATGTACGTAGTAGCATTAATAAATGTATGAACTCCTGCACACAGAGGGAACTGACGAGAGAGAACATCACAATAATTATCGTTAAAACTTTTAATCTAAAACTGTTCTTACCAGGAGGCCGGAGAAGTCCTTGAACCCCAAAGAAACAACTTGCGATGTCAATAGTAGATTTCTCATCAACTTGGCTTGCTAGTGCAGCAAAAGTGGCATCGCGACAAGTACTCAGTGTTATATTATCTTCAATTCCTAGATGATGCAGATAAACAATGCCGGCATTTAAGCATTTCTTACATTTACTTTCATCTGCAAGTGGCACTTTGCAATTTTCTGTGACCTCCGTAAATCTGGGAGATTGAAGCATATGCACGACACTAGTTCGGCCCTTGCATTCATAATTAACAGGAATTTTTGTCCCAAAACCACAAAAAACTGTTGCATTTTGTGCAACTCCATAAAGTTGTAAAGTCTGATATATGGATTGGAGGCAGATGTCAGAGGCATCTGGAGGGACCCCTAGCTTGCTTGTTGCATTAGCAAAACGAGCAACTGAAATTGCAATGTTAGCATTAATGTAGCGGCAACAATTTCCCCTGTCACCTTCGTGTGAGCATATAGAGGATGCCAGAGTAAAATTTGAAACAGTAAAATTCAAAGGGCAATCTGCAAAAGAAGGAGCAGCAGTATTAGATGCTAAATCACATTTATAATCCTTCACTGCAATGCCAACAGTTTAGTATTAGTACATTTTAAAAGATTAACCAGTTTTGTTAACTCCCATAAGGTCAATATGCGGCTGCAGTTCTCTAAATATATACTGATTCCGTGACAGTATTCAGGACGTACGAGATAAAGCTCTTGCTGTATTAGTTTTGAATACATCCTTCTTTGATTACCTTTACTTTTTCCAGTCCCAATATGTGCAACATGAAAGCCTTTGGCTCCCTAACCAAGCCATAATTTCACTTGGATAAATCTTGGATGAGGGAAAATATTGGGGAAGAGCATATGACTTAATGAAATGAATCAAATGATTAGGTTTTCAATTAAAGCTCTAAGTCTGATGTTCAGAGCCATACATCTTTTTTGTGCACAGCATATATTTTGATATTACCACTCTAACACAGGAGAAAACGCATGAGAAGTTAGCATATAATATTGAAATAAACATGGACTGGGAATTGCTTTATAGATTATATTTTTACTTCAGAGCATTGTCATAACCAGAACGCAACAAGATCTTAAATTTACATATTATCCTTCAGAGGAACAAACTAAGAGAGTATGTTATGTGTCAAGGTTCCTAAAATATTAATATGTCAAGTGCAGGCCCAGAAATGGTTTATATCCCTAACATACCCCTTCCAGCAAAAGCCCTTTGAACTCAAAGCATGGACAAAATACAAGCCCAGTAAAACCTTGCTCTGAAATTATAAATTAATTACAATTATGGGGGCAGCAAAGATCAAACTCTTGACTATTTGATCATGAACCAACTCCCTTAAAAGCTTAAACTATTAAGTGAAGGCTCATGAATGATTTTGTATCTAATAACATGCATTAAATTTCATCACAAGTCTGAACACTTCCATTTTATGTACTTTATACCAGTAAAAAAGTACAACAGAGGATGTAAAATGCGCAAGGGTAGGCTTATGTAATTACTAGTCTAGATTGAACGCAGCCAAATGTTGCTCTACTCTTGAGATGGTAACCCAGGGACCACTATCAACACACCTAGAGTAGTAGCTGTAATTTTGCGACGGTATAAATCTGGAGTTCATTTAAATATTCCTATATTGATTTCTGCAACCATTCTAGAGGTAGAAGCTTTCATTATGACGACAAATCCATTAAGATAATTTTTCCAGCGTTCATGCAACTTTGTTTTCGCAAAAATAAAATAAAATAAAAAGGGAAAGAAGTTGAGAGAAATGTTAGTAATTATTGACAATGCATGTAACATGTTTTAGATTCATTGACACTTGTCAATCCTTTCACTTTCCTTCTCTCCTATTTTTGTTTCCCAAACAAAGGGCAATAATGACTTGATTAGGTCATGAATGCAAAGTAGGAGTGAGCAATCACCAATTATCACGATTGTGTAAATGCGGCAAGAATATAAGATAGAGCAAGTTTCATACTTCATATTCACATTATTAAATACCCATTTTCATTCACACTTAACTTCACAATTTCAAATCAATGCACTAGTTGTCTACTCAGTCTCAGAATAAATAAAAAAAAGGCACATGGGTATAGAAGACATTGAAGCAGAGCTAAGAAAGGTAAGAACTTTTCAATGAACTAACCAGCCATTATGACAGGAAGCTCCATTCCAAGAAAACCGAACAATCCCAACAAGGAGGCAAGAACGCAGAGCATAGTGGAGTTGGAAGAGAAGAAAGTTGAACACATTAAAGGGCATGAAGGTACAAGAAGAGTCTATGTTAACTCATTTTGGGAACACCATTTACAATAGGTTTTAAGACTTTTCAGAAAGACTGGTGGGTAAGTATGGGCGTGTGGGTGTGCGTGGTGAGAGAGAGAGGGAGAGAGAGGGTTTTGTACTAGTGTTTGGCTCTCAATAAATGCGCACTGATGAAGAAGAAGAACAAATTTTTTGTTTGATGCTTTCGTGGGGTTCACCTTTATCTGGTTTAGGTTCCAGAGAGGGACAGAGTTTTCCCTTTCACTTTCCTCATAAAATGCCACTCCCTCGGAAAATATCATGTGATTATTGCTCAAAATTCATAGCTAATGCCTAATGCTATTAGGGTTTTATAGAAGTTATCTCGTAAGAAAATTGATTCTATTAAGTTACAGAGATTCGTTTTGTGTGTCAGAATTTTTTTTTTTTTTTGGTTTTAAAAATTGTGAGTCCCACAAAATGTTGTGTGTGTAGAAAAATTGTTGTGGTTATGTTAAATGATAGATGCAAAACCCATACTATTATGAACAAAAAGAAACTCCAAAAAAAAAAAAAACGGGTAGTAGTAGTGGTGGTGGTGTATTAGACTTAGATTTAACATGAAATAAAAGTAGTTGAAAATGAATTATTAAATTAACTTTAAAAATTAAAATTGTTGAATATATTAATACAAAAGAGTACTGTGACTAAGTATGTCCAAAAGAGTTCAGACAAATATGTAGTGTAGTGTAGGACACAGTTCCTATCACAGCTGCATTTATGTGGGTATTTTATAAGAGTAAATATGTCAATATTTTATAAATTTTGCTTTGTTATTTATTTTAGTGTGTATGTGGGGGTGACAATGTAACTTCCTTTTTGGCATGAAATTGGAGCTTTGTTTTGCCTTCTTACTTTTTTTTATCATTGTTAAAGCTTCAAATACCTCCCATTTCCTCTTTTAGTACTTTAATCTAATAGCTAAATGAGTTGTTACAAGTGATTAGTATAAAATATTTTTTGGTACTTAAAATTTGTATAAAACCACTCGAGGGTCCAGACAGATAGATTCTTTTCTTACATGCTGTAAAAGCTTAATCCTTTACGTGGTTATTGGTATTTCTTTCGGTTTTGTTTAGACTATGAGGGCCTCACAAGTCTGCATCAGATCGTAATCATACAAATATATGATGCTTCACCTAACATGTGAGGTTCTGCGGGACCTATGAAATATGTACAAGCATGTGTTCTAATGTATTGTTCTTGTTGCGTTGCATATAGTTGCCGCAGGCAGCACCCAATGGCATAGAATGGGGGATTTGTTTCTGTGACGTGTCTAAATAATTTTATTATCAAATTATGGAGTAAGTTATATTTACAAACTTTTTTGTTTACAAATTACATTATCTTCTCTCGAGAGAACACTCCTTACATTATGCTCTCTCGGGAGAACATAGTGTAATTTGTAAAAAAATTTAAAAAAAATTTGTAAACGGATCTTTCTTCTCAAATTATATGATATTAGTTATACAAAAAAAAAATGTATAAAGTAATCCAAAAAAAAAATGTATAAAACGTCACTAGTTGAATGTTAAAAAATAAAATTATACGTTATCTTTTATTTTATTTTTTCTCTCCTTTCTCCATTTTTATGAGTTTTCATGTGATCTTTTTTCAAAACCTATTTCAGTAGGTGGTCCCTTCTTTTTTTAAAAATTTCTTAAGAACTTCATTTGACATTTGTCTACAAACTCCAGCAAAGCTAAGGGAATGAATCTTAACCACAATTCACACAGGTATCAATTAAGAAATGTGAATGTTGGTTGATGTGCAAAACAAAATTGTTTAGGAAAAGAAAATGCCAACAAGACAGAATCAATATGATTAGGTACAATATAATAATTAACAATATGTGTGCCAGCTATCTTCATCTGTTTTTGGCTAAACAATTCCTATTATCTTCATCCTCAAGGACTTGTGACTTGGGTATATTACATGAAAGTGTGCTCTTGTTGATAATGGTTGCAAATCAATATCAGCAGCATATTAGCTACTATTTCGTTAATTTATTTTTTGTTACAAAAAATAAATTATCATTCCGCTAATTATTAGTCCCTTAAATTCGGCCCATCTAAGAATTAAAAAAAAACAAAAATAAACAAAAGCATAAATATAATCACAATGGCCCTTTTCCTAATGTATTTTTAGTGAAACCATAATCGCAATGGCCGATCTATCTTATCAAGAGGCTAAGCATTTCTATCCTTAGTACATAAGTAGCTAATAGCCTAATACATTCAAAACATATATTCGTGAGTAGAGGTGGACAAAAGGGCCCGCCCCGCCTCATCTCGCCATTAATCCGTTAAAAAATGAGTCAGTTCGCTCCGCCCCATTCCGCTATCAACTCGCCAAAAAATGAGTTAGTCCGTCTCGCCCTGCTTTTGAAAGTGGGCTGGAAAATTCAACCCGTCCAGTCCCGTTTGGCGGGTTGGGCGAGTTAGCCTGTCAGCCCGAGCCTATTTTACACTGGCCCGCCTATGCCCACTATCGACCCGCCAAAAAATGAGCTCGTCCCACTCCGTTTGATGGGTTGAACAGGTTGGCCCGCCGAACCGAACCTGTTTTACTGGCTCTATTCATGAGTGAATAAAGTTGGAGCATTTTTTTTTTCAAGCATTATTTATAATTATATATCCAGCTGTTCATTTGGGAACATTCTAGACAAGATGGATTTGTATTATTCAAATGTGAAAACACGAAAAAAATCTAATGATATAAACAAAACAAAAAAATCTAATGAATATAAAAGTATATTCTATATGAAGACGAGGTTTTTTATTGGAAGAAGTAGCCACGTATACCTCTAAACAACAACCATTAGAAACAAATAATATTTTTACAACCAAAAAAAAAAAAAAGATTTTTCATTCAAGGTAGATAGTGATGCATTTTTAGACCAGTATATATCATGTAGAGTGGTTACTTATATATATCGTATAGAGTCATGAACAACTGTAAATATATATATATATATATTTGTTCGTTTTTTGTTTTGCCTCTGGAAAAAAAGGAATAGCTTACGTTACTCCTAGTCCTATAGGTGTGTCACATAATAATTGAACAATGCCTTTTTATTTTTTGTGATTTTTCTTCCCTTTTTTGTTCTTTTGGGTTACCTACATTGTTTCTTGATACTAATTTTAATTTTTTATGACACAACTGAGCTATCATAAGACCAAGCATTCCTAAATTATTTTAATCTGCATAACCCTTTGGAATTGCTTTAGACAAATGCTATGGAACGATCGAATGGGAACTCAAAAAGGCAAAAACCTCAAATTTCAGCTACAAAGACACAATCAATTTGCGCATAAGTAAATTAAGAGAAAGTTTTGTGAATAAAATATAGATAAATGAAGTCCTAGATATTCTAAATTGTAGCCATTCAAATATTTAAAGTTTCATTTCCAATCTATATATAATCTGTAATAGTAGCTTGCCTATGTAATGTGTAATCTGGTGTTGTTTGTTAAACAGAACCCAGAATAGCCAATGGAGGTACGTGCAATTACAATCACATTCTTCCTGCTCTGCCGTTGCCTGTATTTCACTCTTTCATCCTTATTTTTCTGCAGAACTACCTTCTTGTTGCCACTTTGGTTAGCACAAGTCTTGTATTTGGTTGTTACATTGCTCTCAAGGTACTTTATTATCAGTAGAAAATATTAGATTATGTAGATAAAAGAAGGTGTGGTAGGTGTAGGATCTTAGCAGCAAGGAGATGAAATGAAACTCCTTATTATCTTTTTGTATCTTACTTTGCAATTCATACAACACCTACTTATATAGAACTCTTACCATAAATATTGAGTGTCTTGATTCTAGGAACTAGTTCTTGGATTTATGCAATAAAAACATGCACCACGATTCATGTTTCAAGAAATTTCAGAATTAATTTCTAAGACTCCCTCCTAATTTTGAAAATTATAGAATTCCAAGTTTGTCACAAAAGTGAAAAAAGACAAAAACTTGTCTTAGGAAGTAGGCTTAGTGAAGATATAAGCAACTTGGTCTTTAGATTTGCAAAACTTAAGCTAAATCTCTTCTTCTTCAATCTTCTCTCAAATAAAATGAAACATGAATGAAAAAACATGATTCTTGGTCATTGCTATTGAGGACATGTTGTCATAAAAAGTTATAGTTGAAGACCATTGGTCTTGCTTCATATCCTTCAAAATTCTTCTAAGTCCTGTGAGCATGTGCTAGTTTGCGTCCTGTCATGCAAAACTTTAATAAATTTGCAACATATATATATTGAGAAAGAAAAATTCTCCCATGCATATTCTTCCTTTAATTGCATGCCAAGAAAATACTTCTTAAGGCCCGAGTCTGTCATCTCAAATTGACACATCATTATCTTCTTGAGTTCTTCCCCCATTCACAGAATTGTCATCTTCAAACTTCACTTAAGACTTGAATTTCTCATCCAATGAGACAAAATTCTCCTTGATTTCTGTCATGAATATTGCAGTCATTATCAACATATAAGTCTCCTTCGTTTTTGAGGTTCTAGACACACACAAAATATGCTCTGATATGCCTTCTGTGTTATCTGAAAAAATGAACTTTGTTCTTATCCTTCATTGGATAGTTTATCACCTAGTGATCTGAGTTTCTGCAGCAATTGCATTGTCTAAACCAACATTGGTTGCTGCCAAATTTTTTTTTTTTTCTTTCTTGCAAATAGAGCACTAAGGAGTAGTCTTATCATTGTTTCATAGCCTTTCTTGGTTTGATTTGAATCTCCCACATCCTTTGCTAGATCTTCCTCTTCTCTTTTGTGGCTGACAATTGTTGTGCTTCTTTTTCTTTGCATCTTTCTTTTCATAAAAATATACCTTTAATTGTATAGCTTGCTCAAAAGGCTAATAATTTCTAACAATTATCATTTAAACATTATCTAGTTCATAAAATAAGCTAATTCACTCATCATTTTTAAGTTGACTTTCGTTTCTCTATGAGAAACATTTTCTAACAGGTTGGAGAAACATGCTCCCGAGACACGAATGATTGTGACTTGGGGCTGCAGTGCATGGAGTGCAACTCGCGAAACCGATGTACACGAATTCATACTGCAAGTCCTATTTCAAGGGTCCTTAATCCTTGTCTCATTTTCTTCATTTTTTCCCCATACTTCTAATAAATTGTTTATGAGATTATTATGAATAATGATGTATATATATATAGGTGAAGGAGCTTCCATTCAATCGGTACTCATGGCTTACAACACACAACTCATTTGCGAGGAGGGGAGTGAACTCGAGTACAGGTTTTCCAATTTTGGCTATCACGAACCAGGAAGACACCATTACAGATCAGCTAAAAGTATGTTACACATATCTCTCTCCTTAGTCTTACGAGAAGAAGAATGAAGTCACAAACTATTTTGTAAAATTTGGGAAAGAAAAAAACTATATAGTAAAATCAAAAGACTTCATGAATCAAAATAAAGGGGTTGGAGGCACCAAGTTTCTATACATTCTACTTCCACTGGAAAAAGGGCTATATTTTGTTTATTGGGGACAAAAATTATCTTTGAAGAACTATGTCAATTGTTAGGATAAATGCCATTTTAGTTCTAAAAATAAGTTCATATATATGTGCAGAAATATAATTTTTATAAGCCATTTTCTGTTGCAGAATGGTGTGAGAGGACTAATGCTGGATATGTACGATCACAAAGATGACATTTGGTTGTGTCATGGGCAGTGCAACCAATTTACAGCCTTTGTAAGAGATCCGTGAGATTTTATGAATAGTGAAACTGTACTAATTTCTTTCATATTCTTCAGAGCACTGATTTTGGTCTATGAAATCTGATTTTAACAGCAACAAGCTATAAATGTTCTGAAAGAGATTAAGGCATTCCTTGTAGCACACCCAACAGAGATTATCACCATTTTCATTGCGGATCATGTGACGTCACCAAATGGTGTGAACAAGTTGTTTGATAGAGCTAAGTTGAGGAAATTCTGGTTTCCAGTATCTAAAATGCCCAGGAATGGTAGCAATTGGCCAACAGTCATAGAAATGATAAGAAAGAATCATAGGCTACTTGTGTTCACTTCAAATCCAGCTAAGGAGGCTTCTGAAAAAATTGCCTATGAATGGAATTATGTTGTAGAAAATCAATGCAAGTCCTATATTATTTCCTCTATGATCAAATTATATTATTACATACATTCTACATTTGAGTTAATTCTGATGAGTTTCAAAATTGCAGATGGAAATGATGGGATGAGGGAAAGTTCTTGTCCAAATCGAGAAGAATCATTTCCAATGAACACAAGCACAAAGTCACTAGTCCTAATGAACTACTTTCGAAATGTCAGAGATTCTGAAGAAGCTTGCAGGGATAACTCATATCCATTGATTAGCATGATGAATATTTGCTTCACAGCTGCGGGTAACCGATGGCCTAACTTCATTGCTGTTGACTTTTACAAGGTAAAATTTTAGAACCATTTTTATGTCCATAACTAAAGAGCATAGGCTATACAAATTGGTACATTTTATTCATTGGATTTAATTTGTGGATGGAACATTCAGAGAGGCGATGGTGGGGGAGCCCCTGAAGCATTAGATGTGGCAAATCAAAACTTGCATGGGGCGTGAGGAAACATGGCTCATCTCACTCATTTGGGAGGTACACAATGAATGAAACTTGTTTATGTCACTTTTTTTTCCGTTACCTAGAATGAAGATCTTACATGCTTGAGAATATGGGTGCTAGCAGTTTTTGACAGTTTATATCCCCTTTTATATATTTGTAGTCTATAGTTGAGTGTATAAAGTGATGTTATAACTATAAAAGACCTTAAAAAAAAAACTGTAAAGACCGTGTGAATTTCCTATATTAACTAGAACTATATTAGTATTTGCATCAAATTTGAATTTGGAGCTTCATGCACCTCTTAGCCTGGATTAAACCATTCTTCCAATGAGTCCCAGTCATGAGACTTTCTACTCATGTTCTTTATGTTTAGTTTAAAAGGGATTGGATAGAAATATTCAGTGAAAATGAAAACACTGTATTTCCAATTAATAGTAGGAAGAATGCTAATAAGTAATAACACACTATTTATTATTAAAAATAAAATTTTATAATTGTTTCGGTAAATAATATGGCTCCACACTCTATTTGAAATATTTCGTTCTATTTGAACTTCCAATTCAAACTCTATTTTAAGTAAATTCTTGACAAATTTTTGAAGGTCAGAAGACGTGTCTCTCTCCTCGAAGGGAGACTAGTTTCATCCTTCTTCTTGTAACGAAGCTCAATGCATCCGCTGTTCCAAGAAGAGGGTTGTCTTTGGGCCGTATTTTAAGAACAAAGTGACCGGAGGAGGTTGGATGAGAATACCCTCCAGGTTATACCAAAACAATAAAATAAAATATTTCACTCAATAAATAATTAATGCGTTAAAAAAATTTAAATTAAAAAGTGCTGATACCTTCTTTGGAATATATAGGGCAATTGGCTTTACTTTTTCTTTTTTCTTTTGGATAAGAAGCAATTGGCTTTACTTTGATTGCAACTCACAAAGAACGAAAATTTTATTCGGAAAAGATTAGTCCAATCAGAAAATGAATGACATCAGTAATGATGTTTTGAAATTCCATTTCAAATCAACGTCAGAATTCCTTACGTTAGCTTATATTGGTGGCATTCGCCACTGCACTTGGTTCTTTTGAAACGGTTTCACACCTTAATATATTCATGTTTTATATTAAAATAATAAAAGAAAAAGACGTTGGAGTTGATCCACAGCCATCAAATGATGCGTATGAAACGAATAAATGTTTGATAACCAAAGATTCATTCAGTATATCTCATCAATAAAAATATTATATGTCAATTAAAATTTGTTTTTTTGTCAAATTTTTTCTCTCTCTTCTGATGTGTAATGCTCTTATTGATGAGATGCACTGAATCTAGGTACAGTAGTAGTACCAAAAATTTATTCCTATGAAACTTAAAATTAGGATTAAGGATTAAAATCTTATTAGGTAGATATATCTAAAGTTTATTAAAAATAAATAAAAATCTTTTTTAAAATAATGTATAATTAATGGGGAATAATATACTTACCATAAATTTTTTTTACCATATTTACGACCAATCTAATTACTGTTGATTTTTGTCAATCTAACGATTATAATTTATTGGAAATATTAGATCACATTTATTAATTAATTATTAATTCATAATAATTTTTAATAAATTATAACCGTTAGATTAACGAAAATCAATGATGATTAGATTAGTTGTAAAGGTGGTAAGTTTTTTTGGTGATAAGTATATTTTTCCCCATAATTAATTAAGGAGATAAATTGAATTTTTTGGGCCACTGATAAATTATTTTACACTCAATAAGACGTTCTATAATCATAGACTCATACGTAATAAGTATTTTTAAAAGAATAGGTTATTCTATTTATTTTTTGTCAACCTAACTTTATTTATTATTCTCTAACACCATTATATCATAATTTCAATAAGAGAAAAATAATAAAGATAGTTGAGATGGTATATCCCATATTTAAATCCTCCTAATTATTAATAAGCTATAAAAATAAGTTCCGGTTACCTATTATTAGTTACTCTTAACACTCGATTGTATATACTTGCATTTTGGTAATTTCTTTATACCTTGACTGTTTGATGTGTACTGCTACTTAGGTAGTGATGCATTGGATTGAAACGTATTAAGTTAGCAAAGAGCTTAATCATCAATAGGTACAATTGTAAGAGTTAAAACTATATGATCCAATGGTTGGCCTAGTGTGGTTAAGGAGGTGTGCTTATCCATTAATTACTTGGGTTTGAATCTTAAACGCATCAGGCCAAAAGAGAAAAAACTAGAATGACTCACATCCATGTACATGAACATAAAGTAGGAAGAATGAATCCGCATAGAAGAGGACATATTAGTTTGAATCATAGCGTAGCGTCATGGAATTGGTTCACAATAACTATCCAAAGTTCTTTATGCGAATATGCTTTTGTTGGCCGCCATGCAAACGAATGCTTGAGTCCTTGCCTCACCTGAACTAAAAGCCACGCAAACCGAAATTTCCCCTTATTTTCTGGCCTTAATTTAACTACATATATATGTTATATTTATGCACGCAACAACACTTCCGCATATAGTGAGACAGCAAAGTTTTTAAAAGGATAAAGTTTTGAACTTTTTAGTTTGTGAAGGCTCTCCAACTATGAAGTGAAGCAATCTAGGATCTAGTCATCTCATGTTTGAGGGCTATAACCTTACGGCAAAGCAATTTTTGTCATGTTTAGGAGACTTGAGTTAGCGAAGCTTCAAAAAGAGTTCGAACAAAAATTGCTTCAAGAAATAAAATACCTTCTTGAATAAACTTTCAATTAGTCTTCCAAAAATTAAGATATTATCGTCATATTAGTTGTTTAAATTAAGACTGTTAATCACTAAATTAGTACTTTAAAAATTAAAGTTTTGTTAAAGAAGTCCTATACAGATTTTTTATTTTATTTTATCAAATTGATTGTTTAGTCAAAAATACTTGTACGGAGCCAGCACATCAGTCCCTAAGTAATTTTCTCAAATTTGTAATTTTGTATTACTATTTAATTTTCAATACACATAAATTAGTGGTAATTTTATATCTATGGGAACTTATTTTAGTGAAAAAAAATAGAAAATTAAAATAATAACATTTTGATATTTAAGTAACTAATTTGATTATAAAACATTTAAAATACTAATAATACGACACTCTAATATTTGAAGAGTAAAATTGAGAGTATATTCTATCTTTTTTTTTGGTGAGGGGAGTATATTCTATCTTTAACATGTCGGGATAGACAATAAAACCCTTAACTTTTTTTTTGCACGAAGAAATAAACATTTGCTTCTACGCATAACATTAACACGGCAGGAGGCTGTATAATTCAAAGTCATTCGACCTCTCAATATTTAAATTTTTTTGTAAATACAAATTTGTAAAATTTCAAATACTAACGATACAAATTCTTACAAAAAAGTAATTATATATTATTATTTTGTAAATCTGATTGTAATAAATAAAGATTCATCTCTGAGTTAAAATATAAAAATCTAGACGTAACTATAAGAGTTTTTTTTATGGATAAATATAAAAACTTATTACATACTGACAGTTATAGGTGGCAAATTAAGCTCTGCCCGGAGAGCCAGCTCACCAACACATTTTTATAATTAAATAAAAAATTTATTCTTCTTCTTTTATAATTAAATTCCTAAATCTGATTTTAATTTTTGTAAATATAAATTTGTAAAATTTCAAATACTAACGATACAAATTCTTACAAAAAATAATTATTTTATTACTATTTTATAAATCTGATCGTGATAAATCATCTCTGAGGAAAAATATAAAAAACTAAATGCAACTGTAAGAACTTTTTTGTATGGATAAATATAAAAATCTATTACATGCTGATAGTTAGAGGCGGCCGGGCCGGGCACACCAACTTATTTTTATAATTAAATTAAAATTTCATACTTCTTATTTTATAATTAAATTCCTAAATCTGATTTCAATTTTTGTAAATACAAATTTATAAAATTCACAATACTAAGGACACCAATCCTTGCAAAAAAATAATTATTTACATAAAATGCTGAAAGTTAAATGTGACAAACTGGGCTTGTCCCGGAAGGCCTGCCCGCCTCGCCTTCCAACACATTTTTATAATTAAATTAAAATTTTATCCTTCTTCTTTTATTTTTTAAATTTCTAAATCTGATTTTAATTTTTGTAAATACAAATATGTAAAATTTCAAATATTAATAACACAAATTCTTGCAAAAAATAATTATTTATTATTATTTTGTAAGTCTGAGTGTAATAAATGAAAGTTCATCTCCGAAAAATACTAAAAGAAGTCAAGTCAAACTTTATAATTTTTGAATGACCACAAGACAAGCTAAAGTATAGTATTGTATTTTGGAATGATCAAAGGACAAGCTAAAATATAATGATATATTCTTGTGTGGATAAATATAAAAATTTATTATATGCTGATATAAAATGCTAACAATAAGAAGTGAAAAATGGACTCAGCTTGGAGGGCCGACCCACCACGTCAAAATAGCACAAAATAAAAATACAGTTCTTTTTTATTTCATATATTTTTCAAGTAAAAGGTTTGCATTTTTTATTTTGTTCTTCATATTTATACCTCTATTATTGTATCAGAGCTTCGTAGCAAGATGAAATTCTTGATTTCTTTTAAAGATTAACCAATCACGACCAATAAAATTTTTGATTTTATGCACGGGTAATACCCTAGTTAGTAGCTCAAGCGAAGGTCATTTACGTTTGGACCAACCATTTTAACGATTATCCAGATTTTAGCCACGTGCGTTTGACAAAAAGGGATAAATGAGTTCCGTTCACTAAATTATAGCACCGAGAAGTGCACACGTGGTGAAAATAATGAAAATTGATTTTGAGCCAGTTTGGATAAGCTTTTTTTTTTCAAAAGCTGCTTTTTTTAAGAAAAAAAAGCACTTCTCGAAAAAAGTCTGTTTGGATGCCTGCTTTTAAAAAAAGCAGAAGTCATAAAAAAAGTCAAAAACTTACTTTTTTCGGAAGCTAAAATTTTTAGCTTATCAAAAAAGCAGAAGTCAAAAGTCAAATATTTTTTTCAAAAATCAAATATTTTTTTAAAAATCTAAAAAAGTGTAACTTTTATAAAAAGTACTTTTAAAATAAGAAAGTGATAAAAAGGACTTTTAAAAAAAGTGAATACAAACGGGCCTTTTGTCGTTTGTCTCTAACATGGCTGTGATTTTTCAGACATGAGAGACATGAAAGAATATCCATTTACGAAAATAATGCTACACAAACGGCCTCTATACCAATGAATTATCACAATTCACACGGTCATAACTCGTTACATTCACTACCAAACTTTAAACTTATGAAATCAAATTTGCTTATCAGTGCATAAATTAACTGCTTGTTTTTTTTCTTATTAAACAAAGAATATAGAAGTAATGTAAACACATTTGGGTACTATGGTAATTTAAAATGAAATTATAAATTATATATTTTGAAGAATATATAATTGAAAAAAATGATTATTCTTTTAAATGATATAATTTTGTGTCATTTTAAATCATGACCGTTGATTTCAGTCAATCAACGGTTATATTTTATTGGGTCAAATTTATTAATTAATTAATGATTATCAATAAATTATAACCGTTAATTGAAGAAAATCAATGGTTAAAATCTAAAATGACATAAAATTATATTATTTAATAGGATAGATATTGTTTTCTATATAATTATAGGGTTTGGTATTTGTCATTTTAAATGACATAAATTATGTCATTTTAGGAGGGAGATAAACATAAAAAATGAAAATTATAGAGGAGAAAGAGGGTGGTTTTTTTATTTAAATTTTAAATAAAAAATATTATTTTGTGTCTACCTCTTTCTCTTAAAATGACATAACTTTAAGTCATTTAAAATGACAAACACTTTTCCCATAATTATAATATTAAGGGTTAAGTGTTTGTCATTTTAAATTATATAACTTTATTTGTAAAACTAGAAAAAAAAGTGAAAGAAAAGAAATGAAAAAACACACTAAAATGACGTAGGTTTATTAAAAATAACAGAAAGTTATATGATTTAAAATGATAAATATTTTTTTCTAATATTAAAATATATTTTTTTCTCTTTCTGAAAAAAAAAAAAAAAAAAAAAAACATATATCCTTAGTGGGTTGTACATATGCGACCGTAATATTGTAGATTTTTTCGTTAGTTAGGAGAAGACTCAGCTGGTTAACACCATTAAGTCCTTAAAGACAGATAAAGCTGCTGCAAAATCGTTCACTTTCGGGTCACACGTCTTGTTCACATGTTGCACTCTTTGGAAATCAAACTTCGCATTCATTCTTTATTACTGATACAGATACCCCATTTTCGTTCATCTTTCCTCACATTCTCTCTCCGGCACGCCTCTAAATTATGCAGGTATCTAACTCCCCCTTCTTCTTTTTCATGCTCTGTTTTTCCTCTGTTCTAAAACAGAGACTTCAATTTCCTCTCTCTGTCTCTCTTTCTCTTTTGCAGAACCCAACTCTTGCAACTACCCTCTTCGCCGTTTTGCTTTTTCTTCATTCCTCACTTGCCCTCAAGGTACAGAGAAACACCAACCTTTAACACCCTTTTTCGTACTGTTGTTATTTTCCGTAACCCTTTTTGGTTCTCTTATTTTAATAGGAAGGACAACTATGCGTAGCAGACAAGAACTGCGACTCTGGTTTGCACTGCGAGACGTGCGTTGCTAATGGAAACGTGCGACCGAGGTGTACTCGTATTCAACCAATCAACCCCACTTCACAGGTCTCACTTTTATGTTTTTTTTGTGTCTTCTATGTTGTGCTTTCTGGGTATTGTCGTTTATGGAGTTTTCTTGCGCCATGAATGTGGTACCTAATAAAGTCTCGGTTTTTCGAATAGGTGAAGGGGTTGCCGTTTAATCGGTATTCATGGTTAACGACGCATAATTCATTTGCGCGGTTGGGTCAGAAATCGATGACTCGTTCTGTGATTCTGGCTCCCACGAATCAGCAAGACACGATCACCAGTCAGCTTAATGTGGGTTTTCTTCCATCCCATTTTTATTTTTTTTTACTTTCTCTATTTCTCTCAAGATTATAGTGTTTGGTTTCTAGGAAAATTTTAAATTCTAAAAAAAAAAAAAAAAATTGGGAAAGAAAATGAAACCTTAAGCAGTTGTCGCTGCCCTGTCTCTCATTGTGTTATGTTCTGTCTTCTTACCGGGGAAGTTAAGCTTCTACCTTCTGGTCGTTGTAACAGAACAGAAGGTCCCCACTTTCTATTTATTCGATTTTTTTATTTTTTATTTTTTATTTTTCAATTAAAGTTTAGCCTTAGAACGTGCTGCATGTGGGAATTTATATTTTAAATTAACTGAACAACCAGGATTACTTTACATGGTTGAATAGTTCAAGTAATTAATAGTTTGGTTGGATTAGTTAGGGACTTCGTGTGATATGGAACTTTTTTGTCGGAGAATGTTTGAATTTTTTTAATGACACGTTTAGAGTTGCTGAAGCACACCAATGAATAAAATAGCATTATCAGTTTTCGCGAAACAACTTAGAACTAATCGAATATAGCAGAAGAAGGAAGCTAAAGAGTCAAAGTTCAAACATAAGCAAAACAGAAGTGAAGACTTCTAATTTCTGATCTTACAGTAAAAATAATTTCATTGAATAGCTTGGCATTTATACATCATTTATATGATATATTTCAAACCATTTTGTCTCTGAATCCCACCATTCAATATGACTTATGATTCATGGTCCAAAAATTAGATTGATGATTTTATGATTTGAATTGCAATTTGATAACCTTCTTGAGATTACTCACCTCTTTTACACAGATCAAATAGCATCACTTATCCGAAACAATCAGAATACATAGTACAAAGAGGATAAAAGAGAAGTTACCCCTTTGTTAATATTCTAATGCGTAAAAGAAATTCAAACTATTAGGTCTTTTGAGGATATAAATGATTTCAATTCAAGAGCTTTGGCACCTTATTCTTGTATTTCACATTTCTCTCGCAGAATGGAGTACGAGGGTTGATGCTTGACATGTATGACTTCGAGAAAGATGTTTGGCTGTGTCACTCATTTGGGGGCCAGTGTTACAACTACACAGCTTTTGTAAGTAACAAATGGTTTAGTTGTTGCTATTCCAAATTAAGTATGATATAAGTACAAAATTGAATTTGTATTTCTCTGTGAATATGAAATCTAGTTATGCATTTACTTCGATAGTTATTACTTGTCTGAAATGTGAACATACATACAGCAACCTGCAATTAATGTTCTCAAAGAGATTCAAGCATTTCTTGAAGCAAACCCATCAGAGATTGTTACTATTATTATTGAGGATTACGTGACTTCACCAAAAGGTCTAACAAAGGTGTTTGATGCTGCTGGACTGAGAAAATACTGGTTTCCAGTGTCTCGAATGCCCAAAAATGGTGGAAACTGGCCAACCGTAGATGATATGATCCAGAAGAACCAGCGCTTAGTAGTCTTCACTTCAAAAGCATCTAAGGAAGCTTCTGAAGGGATTGCATATGAGTGGCGATATTTAGTAGAAAACCAATGTAAGTACTACATGTTCCTAATATTTAAGTTTACTTTGGTAACAAAGTTTCAATTGGATATATTGGTGAATGTTAATGGGGTTTGAGAGTGCAATTTGCAGATGGAAATGGAGGCATGAAGGCTGGTTCATGCCCGAATCGTGCAGAATCACCATCTATGAACACAACATCAAGATCTTTAGTCCTAGTGAACTACTTTAGAGATCTTCCAGATGTAACTAAATCTTGCAAGGACAATTCAGCTCCTTTGCTTAGCATGGTCAACACTTGCTATGAAGCAGCCGGCAAACGTTGGGCTAATTTCATAGCTGTTGATTTCTACAAGGTGTTAAAATATATATTAGCCATGAGAAAAATAGCCTTTTGAGTTGATATTGCAAACTTATAGAGTAAGAGAATTGTGATGTAAGTAAATATAATTAACTTGTATTACATTGATGTTTCAGAGGAGCGATGGAGGAGGAGCCCCAGAAGCATTAGATGTTGCAAATGGTCATCTAGTATGTGGGTGTGGAAAAATAGCCTCCTGCAAGGTTTGCATCAATTACTTTCATTCACTCTCTTCCTCTTCTAAGTTTTCATATACTGAATTTTGATTTGTGCAGGCAAACGTGACATTTGGATCATGTCAGTTACCTGAGGCTCATACAACATCTCCCCATGTGGCAGCTCGTGACTCGAGCTTTGGCATTCGAAATTGCAAGCCAGTTGATTTGTTGTGGTGGTTTGCTACTACTCCTCTCGTGGCCATGCTTGTGGCATTGTGAAAAACCTTTCCCTTTAATAAAATGCAAGTAGAAGAGTTTCGGAGAAAGAGTGTGAAGAAACCATTTTTTTGGGTAACGCTGAATTGGGTGTGAACATTGATTAGTTAGGATAGTGTGGGGTTGGTACATTGTGGTGGCTTTTGTTTTTTATTTTGGGGATTAGCTTTGGTAGCTGTCGTTGTAATTTTGTAGTCATGGTGGGAATGCAATGGGCCCACTAACTTAATATTGTGAAATTATCAGTGTGCAACATTTGGTGGGTTGTAATGTTGTATGATATCATTAACAAAGCACTTAGATTTATGAGGTGTCAATCTGAGTAACATTTATGCTTTGATATATTTCACATATTTTTAGATACACCTTATGTAAGAGAACCCTTTTATGTACCACTCAAGTATTTTTTATTTTTCCAACTATGTTATTTATGTAATAATAAATTTATTTATGTATTTTTTGATAACAATAATAAATTTATTATTAGCTAAATAGGGAAGACACATGGTGAATTTGAGGTGTAGAAGACACAAATAGGGAAGTGAAGATAGAGAAGAAACTGCGCCTCAAATCCAGATTTCCTTCATCACGTATATCCTTCAACCGAATCCAGAACAAAGCAAAATACTCAATTGTTGCCAAACTCACCAAAATCATAATCCCACTTTTTGTATAACAGCAAAATAAAATAAATCATTCTGAAACATCAATCCGCACCCAATAACCAAAACTTTTCTTTCTTTCAACTTCACATGACCCACATTAATAGCTCTCATAATATGTTATCACCTAATCAATTTTTTCAAAAGTTTATGCTATTGGACGAACACATATAAATAAAACCCTTTGACTTTGATGTGTGAATGATTTGAGAAAATTTAGTATGAAAAATCAAAAGTTATCAACATATAGCCTGTAGGTGTTTCATTAAAACTAAAAGGGTAGCACTATATCATAGAGCAAACTTAAAGGCCTGAACTATAGAATCAGATCATAATATACTTTTTTTAATGGGCTTAGGATCTGGTTTTTTTATAGGTTATAGCCCAAAATAATGAACCATAAACATGTTCGGGCCATCCAATGTCATAACCCAAGACCCTAAAACAGAGGAAAAAAGAAGGTTCTCACCCGATCCTCCAACGACAAAGAGGGAAACCAGGCTGCACAACCTGAGGTCCGTAAAGAGAACTATTTTCAAGAGAAAAGTTGAAAATAATAGCTGAACTTGTTCAACACCCAAAAAAAGACCAAAAAAAAAAAAACTTAGATGTATTGAAGACTATCCCTTACTTTCATCCTCTTATTGAAGTCTGAACTTTTGAAACAGAGGCTAACTTAATTTTGAGACCATACGGGAGAAAAGAAGCTACAATATGAGAACTTGAGAAGTTATCCGTTTGGATGTGCATGTAAAAAGATTTTTTTTATGTCTTATTTATTTCAGGAATATTTTTTCATAAAAGTTAAAGCTATTTCGATTTTTTTAAAAAAAAATTGACTTTTGACTTTTGAATTTTTTAGAATCTAAAATTTTTAGCTTAAAAAAAAAATTGATATTTAATTTTTTTGTAACTTCTATTTATTTTTTCAAAGCAAATATCCAAAAAGACTTTTTTTAGTGCGGAGTGCATTTTTTAAAAAAAAAAAATTATTAAAAAATAAAGTTCATTCAAACGCCCTATATAAACATCATATATTGAAATTGGATGTTGAAACATACCCTACTTTAACACGTGTCATCCATTTACAAGTATTTAACACTTAGTTGTGCATGTCAAATATTGTCATTCGACTCAATTAATTGTGACCTGGGCCTATTTTGGAATTTGTTTTTAGTTTTTCTTCTATGTAAAAATTAAGCTAAATAAGTTTTTACAAAAACTTTTTTAATAAGAGTTTTTCTTTTATAATAAAAAATTAAAAGCCAAAAGCGGGTATGAGGAATTTTTTTAAGTTGTATAAGGATATTAAAAAATCTAGTATTGGTAATAGATATTAAAAAATATCAAGTGTCATTATACTGAATGGATATTTAACTAAATGATTACAAAATAAATATAAGCTGAGTTTGTACAACAAAACCCATATCTTATCAGATTAGATGTCAGCCAAAGTGTTTCATAATCACCGTGACAACTGCAAACACACGCGCGGTCACGTGGGGGGATGTCATCCGCAAATTTCGAAGCTTAATAATGCAATATTAATGTAGAGGAGTAAGTTCTAAGCGATATTGAGCTTGAGTTGTATTACACTCATGCACACGACGGGGCATCCTTTTCTTCCGCGATTGGAGTGTACATTAGAATTTCCACTTAACCACACTTTAAATGCACGCCCATATAGCTTAATTTATAGATATGGATATAAGACAGAGTTGCATTTCATTAATTTAGGAGGATTTTCAGCAACAGTTTCAAACTTTGAATATGCTAATGCAGCCATTCACGTAACATGCATAACTATTAAACGCAAGTTCATTCCTTCATTATTGATATGCACGGTTCAAAAGACACCCGTTAGTAAATTATATTTATTAATGTATTTGTGGGCTATATATTATATTAATAATTATATTATGCTATTTAATATATATTGGATAAATTATAATAATCACATAAAGATGTTCAAATAGATTTCTAAGTAAGTGTGGGATAAATAAGTGGGCTTTTTCACTTTTTTGTTCCTCATTAATTAATTAATAATTATTTTGCCTCTGATTCAAAATTATCCACCAATCTGCCTCTCTTTAATCGATTAATTTGAATATTTAATCGATTAAATGGTTGACTCGAGATTTAATCGATTAAATCTCCCTATTTAATTGATTAAAAAATTATATTGACTTGAAATCCTTTGTTACCTGTTGGGAGATTTAATCGATTAAATCTTGAGTCAACCATTTTTGCCTGTTTTGACCATTTAATCGATTAAATCTCTCTATTTAATCGATTAAATCTCCCAACAGGTAACAAAGGATTTCAAGTCAATATAATTTTTTAATCGATTAAATCTCGAGTCAACCATTTAATCGATTAAATATTCAAATTAATCGATTAAAGTGGATAATTTTGAATCAGGGGCAAAATAATTATTAATTAATTAATGAGGGGCAAAAGGGTCAAAAAGCTCAAATAAGTGGATACCAGTATTGGTCAATTAGATATAATGGGAGTTTACTGACCTAACAATAAAGAAAAACACTGTAAAAGTTATGGTCCCCAATATGTCAAATGATGAAACTTTAGTTTTTCTTCCTTATCAAGAGAAAGACAATACATTAAAGAATAAGGATTAGGGTTATTTAAATAAAAAATATCGCATATTTCAAATGAGAAGATCAAAATTATTTCACTGTTATGGAGAAAGATATGTCTCAACTTTTCTGTTAATATTCCTTTATGATTTGATACAATGGATATTGATTTGTTGACGATGCTTATCACCAATTAGACCCATAAAATCTACCCATTTACTTGAGAAAACAAAATCTAAACCCTTCAAATTAAGTTATTCGTAAATGGCATTGCTGGGAACTGTAGCACCTCAAAGTGTGGCTATGGCGTTAGAGTCAGAGAATGCAGTTGAAAGAATGGACGTTATTAGGGGACCACCAATCCACAAAGGTTAAATGGTATGACATGATTAAGTTGAAGGAGTGAACACGTGGTGAGCAATTGGTTGAATAGAGTGGAAAGTGGGTTCAATTATTAGTCAAAAGATTAAATTAGATTATTTGACCTTTAAAAGAAAATCAGATTAGATTGGGCGAATCAAGCTGAAAGATTAAATTCTTAGGACGAATCACGAGGCCAACTAGGCTTTGCTTTGTTTCCACACTCATGGTCACTTTCCAGAGTCTTTCCACGAGTGGGACATGGTGCCATAAGAAATATTCTAAAAAATAAGATTTATAGCTTATTATTCTTTTGTTGTTTATTGTAGTAACCTAAATGTATAGTTAAAAGGTATCTAGACTTTATAGTGTTTGCTCATGAATCATATGAACAAGTCAGCCAGTTGATTTGCTTTTTCCAGCACCTCATCCACTAAGATCCCTTTAATTAGCTGTGCATAAAAAGAACAGAGCTGATTATGGTAGTTTCTCTGGTCTCTTCATCAATTAAGTAATCTGAGGTCACAGATTTTGAGGCATCGTTAGTGCTTAACTTTATAAAATTGGAGGCCTTTTAATATGATGGTTAAGCTGTGTCCTCTGTACGAGATAATTTGAGCACTGTGCCAGGTTTCTTTTGGGGAACAATAAAAATATATTTGTTTCAAACCGACAATTACACAAATTCAAATTTAACTTACGTCTAATTTGATTATACTATATTTATCTCATCGTCATTTATTACAAGTCATTCGATTTACAAAAAAAATATAAATAAGATTAAAAAATCCTAACAACGACTATGGACCCAGCCTAAACTACTAAGAAAATAAAAAATTACAATAAATCATAGGCCCATAACAATACCTAGTCTTTTCGGATCTGGGAACACCGAACCTCGCCGAGGTGGTTCCCCCGTACCCTTGCCCGCTTATCTAGGAGAAGACTTCAGTTGTTTTTTTGCTGACCCCAATAATAAAAACCATCATTAGCATGCGAACTATGAGAGATATCCAATAATATTGAATAAGAAAAAAAAAAAAAAAAGGTTGTGTATTTTATTCTTAAAAAAGTCTTTGTTATACTACTCACGCAGCCATGCTACTCCCGGCCCGAACAAGTAGTGGGCTTTTTATTTGAGGTCGGGCATACAGGTTGGAGGCCTTAAATGGAAATTCCATGTTCGTAGCATAAGGTAGGAGCTCATTTTGGGTGCAGCAGAGTACCAATTCCTTTTCTCAAAAAAGAAAAATATGGAATATGAATGAAAATAATTATAAAAATAAAAGTAATGTAGAAATATTATTTATTGTCATATATAATAAATAATGTACGTTGAGTGTTTGATATAATTGGAATATCAAAAATATTTTTCATATAGGATACAAAATACAATGCAGTCAAAGAAAGGCTGAAACAGCTGGAAACACGTGCACTGAAGGAAACAGTGTGTTTTGGAAGAAGCTGTAGCGGCAAAACATTGCCAGGTTGACCGGAGACAACAGGGTCACACTCTTGTCTCTCCCCCACGCGTGCTTCCAAATTCTCACCGCTTTCCTCTATTCCACTTCCTAACAACACAAATATGCAATATGCATTGTACTTACCTTCAACCAAACCCTATATACAGTTGTACTTTTTTTATATATATATTTAAATTCCTTTTTCTTATTAGCCCCAACCTATATTCTAAAATATGTATAGTTAAACGTAAGCACACCTTTTTAACCATTGGGTTAACTTCCTATAATTTTTTTATGAGATTCTTCGTGTACATCAATATATTTATATTGAATGATTTGAATTTTATTCTAAAAGTAAATTATTAGTGTCAATTTTAATTGCTTATGTTATGATTAGGTTCGTATAATAGAGCGAGAGTATATGAAAGAAACTTCTTTTTATCTCAATGTTACTAGCACTCCCTTAGTTAATACCGACCACATTGTTCACCCAACAATGCAACTGTTTCCCGCTTTTGGTTTCTATTTTCAACAGTTGCGGAGAACATTAACCGAAGTCTAGAAGGGGACATATTTAATTGCTCGCATTTCACCCTCGTTTTCCCTTTTCATGATACAAAATATAAGTACAGAAAATTTTCTTTGCTTTTCAATTTGTTTTCTAATTTCTAGAGATAACTTTGTTCAATATCTTACTTTTTAAAATTTCAATGATATCCACAATAAAAAAATAAAGTTTATCTTTAAACAATGAATTAAATGAAAATTTTAATATTCAAAAACTAAGATTAATGTTTCTTATGTTATTGGGGATAATTTTATTTCCTCTATACACATAAAAGTGTGTGAGACTTATATCTATGTGAAGAGAAAAGAGAAAAGAAAAGAAAATATAGGTATCACATACTTTTATATTTGTGAAGGAAATAAAATTATCTCCTATAACATAAGAAATAATAATCTGTTAAAAAATTAAGGAAAAGTTGGATGGATTGAGAACATTTTTTAATTCATACTTTTTCTGGTTTTTAAGAAGTTTAGAAAATTAGAGTTCGTCCTATGTCGAGGTCATATTCCATGATACTTAAAAAATAAATATAATTGAAAGCAATAAGAGTTGGACTTTCGTGCTTAGTTAAAATACTTAAATCAAACTTTAGATTAACATCTTTAAGTTTGTTGCACACTAGCTATTAGCTAGGATAGGAATAAGGGTCAGGATCATTTTGCACCGGTGTAAGTTATACTCTCAATCTTGTCCATTAATCTCACTTATATCTAAGGGCTCTAATTTTTTAGTAATATTAGCCATTGAATACAAGTAAATCAATAGTCAAGATTGAGTGTAAGACTTCTAACTCTTACACCGGTGTAAGAATATCCTGGCCCTAGGAATAATATTCTTGTTTGCAATATGTTAAAAACGAAACTCCGTTTGTAACCTTGTATAACTCTTAATTAGCTCCCTTATATTGGAGCTTGCTTATTTTTGCTGAATGTAAACTTCTGTTCAGAAAGTTTTTTTTTTTTTAATCGTGTAATCGTTTAACTCATAGTAATTGTCGCTTTTTAAAAAAAAAATAAAAAAAATCCTGCTAGGTAGTCTACAGTGATTAATAATGTATAAATGAAATTTATTTGAATATAAAAAACATATTTCAAATCCCCAATTTTGCCTATTGACATTTGATAACATATTACTATCAATGTTTTGAATAACGTGATTCTTTTTTCCAATGTTTCAAAAATTGAATGGAACAAGTTGTTGAAGTGATTAAATTGTGAATTAATTATATTTGTTATTTAAAGAATATTAAATTCAACTACAATTTAATCATATAGTTTGTAATTAATACACAGATATGGCTAGTTCAACATCTCATTTAATTTTTAAAACATTGATATTTTCGCTTTGATTTGTTCGCTGACTGTGTACACTTTCTCTTTATTAGTTGTTGGGAGGTCCAAGGACCATCAACATGAATTTCAATGGAAACACAGTACCATTCAGACTAAATTGAAAATTTTGAAAGAAATGACAAGCCATAAACTGTTTAAGATATGCTTTATTGATAATAGACATTAATGTTTGGAAATTTTGAAATATTACCAAAATGACAAAATCAATTTTTGAAAAGTCGCCGCAATGAAAATAAGTGTCTATCAGATCCGGGAAAAAAAAGGGGGAAAATAAGTGTTTGAAAATTTTCAACCATTTCGAAAAATAAATAATAATGAAATTATTATTTGATGCACAGGAAGCAAAAGCTAAAGTAATTATATGAATAATTCACCAAAAAAGCACCCTAAAAAAGAGTTTACCAAGAAAAAAACACAATTTAAATGAATAACTCATAACTTTGTAATGTCACATTAAACGAATCAAAACTATATACTAAATATTCTAAAACTAATTATATATTTCAATGCTTTTTTATATATAAACTAATTTGAAAAGAATTCAAATGAAATAATTTATCAATTTGGTATAAAAGATAATAGATTGTTCAAAATAAAAGAGAAAATACTAGATAATTCAAGTTTTTGTAACAAACTAAAATCATTTTTTTTTTTTTTTGATAACAAACTAAAATCATTTTTGGGAGAGCTAACCTTTAACATAAACATAAGGTCACAACACTATTGATGTCAATAATTATAATGATGATTGTGAGTTATCAAAGTCCCATCTTTTATAAATTTTTATAATTTAGTTGTGACATTAAACTGTAGATGTGTACGTGTAAGAAAAAATAAAATAAAATGCTAGCATGAACAAAGAGTCGTAACTCGATATTACCATTTTTTTTCAACACTACTAGATTCTGAAGTTTAGTTTTTTCTATTTACATTAAAAATTTAACTAATAGTTTTTATTTTTTGCAAAAAAATTATTTTAAGAGAAGATATATCCTTATTACCAAAAATCTTACTGCTAATGCATTACCTACTTAATTACCATTGAATCAAAAAGATATAATGTTGAAAAAAATTTAAAGAGAAAAAAAAAATACTAATCTAATGATAATTAAAATGATAATAAATTTTGTTAATAATAAGAATATCTCCCTTCTTTATTTTAATGATCGCAATTGAAGATACTTGTCTAAACTCGAATTAAATTTGTCAAAAATTCACCACTATTTATTTTTTTCTTTTACCCTTTATCCTTTTTTTTTTCCCAAGGACGCAAGTAAAAATTAAAGATGAAGGAATATCTGATGTAGGTGTCACTTATCGAACCGCGTCCACTCAGAAGGGACCACTACCCGTTATTGTTATCCACACGAAAGTTGTATTTGCCCCAATAAAGAGGTTGATAGACAACCTGGACCCCTCTTTCCTTCCTAATCTCTTCATCTTTGACCTTTGACTCCACATTATTACCAAACGATTCAAACCTAATCATGTTCTCTAACATATTTGCATCCTGCCCCCTTTTATTTCATCTATTATCCAATTCTCCCTTTATTGTTTTCTTTTTAACATTTCCACTTATTCATCCAACCATAAAAACTAGCAAAATAATACAGAAAAAGATCCTTCATTTTTATCTTCTTTATTTTTTTAATATCCAAAAAAAAAAAAAATTTATTGTGTGTACTTTATGAAGACAACTTTTTAGCATTTCATACTCTAAAATGCATTATGTATTTCAAGAGACCTAAATTAATATATTACTCCACTCATTTCCTTAATTAATAATTGGGATTCGATTCTTCCTAAAATATACTTTCATTTGATTGTTAGACTTTATTTTATAATTTTAATAAAATATGAAAGAATTATCATACAATTTAAGGAAAAATTGTTCAAATAATTGATTAGAAAAAAATGCTTGCCAATTAAGACAAAGTGCATTTATTTAGTTTATACATTGGGTAGATTTTATCCATTTTTTCATATTTATCCTTCAATAGTAATCTGAGACACTAACAAAACAATTACTTTATATAATCTTAAGTAAATATAAAATGACCAAATCTATGTGCTAAGGATACTATGTATTATTATATAGTGGTTGTTGTTGCTTGACCCTTTGATATGTTAAAGGGTTCTTTCAAGATCCTACCAAAAAAATATTGGTTGTTTTATGATTCTTCTTTTTATAATTTTAAACACTTCAACTTCTTAAGGTTAAAATTGTTACCGGATTGGATGGGATTTTGGCGTTAAATTCCTTCTTCTTTTTTCACAATTGAATTCTGAAATCTGAAAACTGCAAAATAATAATTTAATTACTTTTTATTCGTTAAATATACTCATTCATAAAATATAGTACTACTTACTAATTAATTTTATCTAAACTCCTTGAATCTAAACCGGTTAAGTGACATTAATGGTATCAATTTTACATTATTGTTTCTTCTTTTAAAAAAAAGTGGCTTCCGTATCCTTAAAAATTGATTGTAAATATTAGAAAAGGCTTTGCTACTTTCTTTCTTTTTTATTGCAAAAGCTTTGACAAGATGATACATTATTGTAAATTGGTTATGCAAATAAACAATGTTTTAGTCAATTCCCTTTGTGATGATACAGTGATCTCTTTGTGATGATACCTTACATGACAATAGAACAGTGTAAAGCTTTCGCATCGATACCCAAACAAACAATGACTGTGACTGTAGTAGGGTCAAGACTAAGCAAAGAAAAGAAGAGGGAACAAAAAGAGCGTAAAAAAGAAGAAGCCCATAGAATACAAAGATGAAAGGGATGGAAGAATATGAAAAGAAAGGAAAAGAAGAGGGGTCGATGAGCAAAAAGTGAAAGGAAATGGAGGACGCAATTAGTTGATGTACACAGACAGGAGTAAGATTTTAGGCAGTAAATGTGGGACCCCATTATTAGTGGCATATTTTGTTTGACCAATCCTTTCTCTCTGATCCCATTCCCCAACCAGGGTTAGATTCCAAGTTAGATGCCATCGCACACGTGTGGGAGAGGGGAGAGACGAGTCAGATAAAGGAGTCAGGGAGTGAAGGACGGAGGTCAGTCTCTCTCTGTCTCTGCGCCTCTGCCTGTTGGGTATGTTCCTCTGTTTCATCTCATATAAGAGAAAGCAAAGCGTGACATACCTAAAGAGAATTTCCACACCCTTCACATTTAGCACTATTTTTATTATTATTATTATTATTATCATTTCTCGTACAGCCACACTCCTATCCTAATTCCTAATTCCTAATTCCTAATTCCTATTCCTATCACACTCTTCCCTCCCAACACAAACAATGCCTGGCAGTTTAGAACCGTTGGATTTGGGGGTTCAGATTCCCTACCACTTCAGGTGCCCAATCTCGCTCGAACTCATGCGAGACCCTGTCACGGCGTGCACCGGTCAGACCTACGACCGAGCCAGCATCGAGTCATGGGTCGCCACAGGCAACAGCACATGTCCCGTCACGCGAGCCCCTCTCACCGATTTCACTCTAATCCCCAATCACACCCTCCGTCGCCTTATCCAAGATTGGTGCGTCGCTAACCGCGCTTTCGGGGTTGAGCGAATCCCCACTCCCAAACAGCCAGCTGACCCTGCCCTCGTTCGCTCCTTGCTTAACCAAGCCTCCTCTAATTCCGCTCCCAAACAGCTCCGTCTAACCTCGATTCGTCGACTCAGAGGACTCGTTCGTGACTCAGACAAGAATCGCGCTCTCATTGCCTCACTCAACGTTCCCCACTTCTTACTCCCTATTGTTTTCAACAACCACGCTTCAGACGAGTTGGCTCACGAGTCGCTTGCTCTACTCGTCCTGTTCCCACTCGCTGAGTCCGAATGCGCCTCCATAGCTTCCGACTCGGATAAGATTAGCTTCCTATCGCGTCTTCTCTCTCACCCTTCCGTCGATGTCCGAGTCAACTCGGCGGCTCTGATCGAGATCGCCGTCGCCGGAACTCACTCGCCGGAGCTTCGCGCTCAGGTTAGCAATGTCGACGAAATCTACGACGGCGTCATCGATATACTCAGGAACCCGATCTCGTACCCGCGAGCTCTCAAGATCGGGATCAAGGCCTTGTTCGCGCTGTGCCTGGTGAAGCAGACGCGGCAGAAAGCGGTGGTGGCCGGAGCGCCGGGAATCCTCGTCGACCGGCTTGCGGATTTCGAGAAATGCGATGCGGAAAGGGCGCTGGCGACGGTGGAACTGCTGTGCCGGATTCCGGCTGGTTGCACGGCGTTCGCCGAACACGCCCTGACGGTGCCGATGCTGGTGAAGATAATACTGAAGATATCAGATCGCGCGACGGAGTACGCCGCCGGAGCGCTGCTGTCGCTGTGCTCGGAATCGGAACTGTGCCAGAGGGAAGCGGTGGCGGCGGGGGTGTTGACTCAGCTGCTGTTGTTGGTACAGAGTGATTGCACGGAGAGAGCGAAGAGGAAGGCGCAGTTGTTGCTGAAGCTTCTTCGGGATTCGTGGCCTCAAGATTCCATCGGAAATTCTGACGGTTTTGCATGCAGCCAGCTTGTTGTGGTGCCCTTTTGACCATTTTTTTTTTCTTTCCTTTGTAATCTCCAAAATTTGTAATTTTTGTTAGTGAAAAAAATGATTTAGATTAAAAGAAGAAAAAGAAAAAATGGACATAGATTGTTGAAGTGGAGCTTAGAATCTTTCATTTAGATTGGTAAATAGAACCGCAATTCTGTATTTGATTTTTTTTTTTATTTTTATTTTTCCCTTCTCTTTGTATGTAAGAATTATATATTGAAGAACGAAGAAGACAAAGTGTTTCATTAGAGGCTGTAAAATTTTGTCATTCAGATGGAAAATAGAGCTAACTTTCTTTTATTTTTCGTTTCTTTCTACTCAGTGTGTTCATGAACTTAATTATGATTGAATTGGTTGGTGTCTGGTTCTTATTTGTGAATTTGCTTGCATGTGGGAATCTTGTGATTATTGGGTGGAAAGAAAACATTTGATGCCATTTGGTGAAGTACACGTTTCTGATAGCTCCATAGACGGAAGTGTTTTTGACTTCCAAGGAATATCATTTTGAATAATCATTATGTTGGGGAATTTTATCCATGACTGCTCCTGCTCACCTATGAAGAAAGATGTATACCCTTTTTTTAATCCTCTTGTGTACATCTATTCGAACGTGGTTCTCGCCCATATTCATCGTACAACGACCCCAATACAATTTTATTTTCTCATCTTAATCCAATGGGTTGAATTCGGAATCTTTGAAAGTTTAAGTTCAAACTTGAGTTATATATTTAATAATTGACAGAATAAATATACCAAAAAATAATTGACAGAACATCATGTTAAAAATAGACGAAAAAACAGTTACTGTGTTCCAATGGAAGCATATCCGTATGGGCCATTACAATTAGCATGTAGCTGAATGGCAGTACTACTACTAGTGTATGAATGAGTATGAAGTTGGAGCAAGAACAAAACATAGAGAGCAGCAGGCTTGTACGGGTTTGGAAGGTCTTTGAATAAAAAGGGAAAGGAAAGGCGCATGTGAGGGAACATGGTGGGGTTCCAGAGGGTCCCACTGCAAGGAATTGGAAAAGGGTTTATGTGGCTTACAAATATAGAGGAGATGATGGTCACATGTTGCTGGGAATAAAACCATGGAATCACATGGCTACATGGGGTTCTTCATGCTCATTTGTTATTCTCTTCGGCCCCCTTCTCATTTTTTTGTGATGGCTACTATTACTGCTGCCGGTGCTCACACATCACATGCCAACCCCATTTTGTTTCTGTTCTGCAGTTTCTAACAGATGGGGAATTTAATTTGTCTTCTATGAGCTAGTCAAAAAAGAGATTCTATTTGAGATGAGAAGGGGAGGGGAATATGTACATTTCTACTTAAAATATAAAATTATACACACGTGTGTGTTTCCTGTTCAATGACCCCAAAATCATATCATTTTGAATTTGGGAGAAATATAATTTTGTTATTCTAATTCATTCTGAAATTATATAATCTTTACCCTTATAATTATTTTTCTTATTCCTAAAACGACTTTCAAAATGATATCATTTTGAAGTTAGAAAAAATATATTTTTGTAATTCTAATTTATTTTGAAATTTTATTAATCTTTATTATTATATTTAATTTTTTTCTATCCTCAAAATGACTTCATTTTAGGATCACAGGAGAAAAATTAAATTATATATGTATATGGAAAAGATAATTATATTCATCATCTTCCATACAATTTTCATCTCCATCATTATCCATGGCATTTTCTTCTCCATCTCCATCAAGTTGATTATCAAAATTAGCAATCTATAAATTAATTAGAGGGGCACCAACAACATCATTAGCATGCTTTCTAATGTGAACCAAGTCGTCTTCATTTGGAGTATCCGAACCCAAACCCTCAATGTTAGATAAACTTCCATCTTCATCAAATGAAACACCATCAAGGTTATGCTCAATAGTTTTTCTAGCTTTCTTCTTCTTGGCTGATTTTAAATTAGCCATCACAAAAATAAAATAAAAACAACATTCATTGTCTCTTTTTCAAACAGTTTCATATTTGTGAGGATCTAAATAAATACAAAAAACAAGTAATATATTGCACATAGTAGGTAATTTCAAAAATGAATTACAACTCATATACAATAATAGCAGATTGTTGGAGTTCTAGATGTTTATCCCTATACGCATATCCCACAACTATAATGAAGTTTTAGTAATACTTGCAATCGTGGTTACTACAGTATCGAAAAAAACTTGGATGACTTTTAAAATCTTCAGGTTGAAGTGTTACAATTGAGAAACGATAAACAAGTCCTTGAATTGATATATCTTGTATTTATTTTTTTCCAATTTGTAATAGTCTCTTGATTAACTAATATCTTCTTCTCAAAACCCTCAAACATTAAAGCAGTTCGTCACAATTTAGACTTTATCAACCTCCTCAACAACTAACATCGATCAATCTAAAGGTATGTGAAATGCATCACTACACTTACAAAAATAGTTCCCTTAGAGTTGTTTATTAAGAACTCTTTGAATATTCAAATGTGGCTTTCACTGAACCCGCATGACAATAAGGAGCGTTTGGTTAAGGAAATTTTTTTGGAATAGTAGGGAAACGAGATAGATAGAGAAATGATTGGAAAGATAGATAAAGTGAGATAGGTAGAAAAATGTAAAAAAAAAAGTTGTTTGGTGGGGAAAAACTTTACTGGGAAAATTAGGTAACTTTATGAAATCAACAGTGCATTAAAAGCTAGATAACCGGTTTTTCGAAAAATCTCACCTTCAAATTGGGTTTCTAAACAGTGCGGATATCTATGTTTCTCATAAATCCAGACAAATTGGATAGATTGGTTTTTGGTGAAAAACGTTGAAACAAACATGGTGTTTCTAAAAGTCATACTTGAGAAAGATAGATATCCGCTGAAAAGCTCCCAACCAAACACCGCCTAAGAACTTTATTATAGTCCTCCTGCTAGAGTTGTTTTCTTCCTATGAACTCTATAATATTCTTCAATGGCCTCTATTGTTGAATTCAATTATTGCTTCAAAAATTTATTCTAATTTCATGATAGGATGGTGGCTTAAATCCTATGCAATGTCGTGCAACCATTTTCAACATCTTTTGAAATTTATCTATCCTTGCCACCCCACATTACTCCTATTTGGAGGAACATGAACTTTAGAACCTCCGTTGGCAAGGACAGCATCAACATCACCAAAGATGCCACCACCACTCCCACCACCTCTAGTCAAAAACTTGAAGACATATTCAATGTAGCAAAACAATCTAACAGAGAAGATCAAACCAGCACCAAAACAGAGAAGCAATATATGACGGGACAAGCAACTAAACCCAGCCAAACCAGCAGTGCCAACATGCCACCATGGAGACGCATTCAACACTAAAAAACACTGGCAGTTTTGCAAGAATAATGATTCAACACTAGAAGCCAAAAACGAAATTGGTACTAGACATTGTCTTCAAGTTTCAATGGGAGATATGTAGCACTTGCGACCCATCATTTAATGTCACCCTCTTTAGTTTTATTTTATTTTTGTAATTATCTTTTATTCCCCTTTTGACATCAACCACTCAATTCTTTTTTACATGGTGAAACATGTCACCTAAGGAACGAAGTGATGGGGAACCTTTCCAGCGAGTTTTTAACAACAAAATCGTAGTGAGAGATTGTATAATGTATGTAAAGATACGTAGGGTGAGATATCATTAATTAATCATTATTCACTATTCATCTGTGCCTTGCTGCTTTTGGACTTTCCTCCAATAAAAGAAGTCAAATTGAATATCACATTGTTTCTCCTCTAATTAGATGATGATATATCATTGACACTTGACAAAGAGGGTTGTTCTGTTCATTCGCGTGCACGTACGATAAGTTGTTTTCAACAATCCTACAAATACATTTGAATGCATTCTGCTGACCATATTTAAGCACTCTGAAAGTGATAAGTGAGTAGAAATGTGCATACCATCCATATTGGGTTCTTTTGCATTACAACTGTCGCATTCACACACTATTGAAGTTACTAAAGTGAATAACCACACGTGCTCTTCTTCACTGCTTTGGTTCAACTTCACATTGACAAAAATTCGGTGCTATCGGATTAGTCCATTCTTGTTTAGAGTGCACATATCACGAGCGGAACTGTCGTAGTCAAGGACTAATAGTGGATACCCCAATGTTCATATATATGGTCATGCTATTGTTATGGAATTTTCAGAACTTCCACTTTAGGATTATTTATATGATTTTTTTTTTCTAGTACGAATAATATGACGAACTGTTAAATATTTATTTGCTGCCAGTTAACTATTTAGCAAGGTAAACCCATGATGGTGAGTGGTGACTATTGTTCTGGATACTAAACTTGCCAATTTTCATAAAAATTACTCTGATTTATATTTGGTTTCATTATTCATTTCATGTCACTGAGGTGAGCTTGTATCTTATATTCACAAAGTTTATTTATAAAATGAATCATCGACATTTAAAAATTACTACGAAGTTCTCTGTTTTTACGGTAATTAACTACAAAAAGTTGGTACATGAGGAAATTGTTCCACAGCCAAATCTAAAATTCTTACATCAATATTATTCGATGTTACTAATTGAGGCAAGAGGCAATCTGTTTTTATCATTTGTGGCCTTGACAGAGAAGCCTAAATTTGATTGGGCTAACCCTTTTCTATAGACCAACATAAAAAATATTTTTATTGGGCCAAACTATTTGAATGTCTGCATAGTTAGGGCGTAAGATATCGTCGAAAAAAAAGCCCAAATAATAATAAAAAAAACCAAAAGTATAAAAAATTTAGCGTCTGTTTGATTTCTATTTTTAAAAAATATATTTTAGTTTTGGAATAGAAAAACAAAAAAAAAATTATTTGTAAAAATGACTTTTGAAATAATAACTTTTTTTATTTTTTAAAACTATAATCAGAGAACGATGTTCTTAAAATTTGCTTTTTGATTTCGTGGTAATTTATAATTATGAGTATTTCTTAAGGGTATTTTTATAAATTTATTTATTTTTTTATTATTTTGTAGTGACAATTTCATATTTATAGGATTATTAATATGAAAGCTTTCTTATATTGAAGAAAAATTGTGTGATGAAGTTCCTTTTAAGCTTGTCGTATGCCTCTTGTTAAGTGTCAATTATATCATGTTTTTAGGGCAAAAAAATATACTAAATCTTGATGAATATGGTTAAAAGACTAGATGTATATTATTAAGGGAAATGATATTGTAACAACCAAGTTGTGTTACTACCAAGTTACTATCAATCAATCTCACCGTTAGATCGATTATATTGATCCAACGGTTATATTTATTTCCATATTTATATGGTCATGATTTTCCAAATTTAGTACTTTATATTTATTTCCACATTTGTATGGTTATGATTTCTCATATTTAATGCTTTTACTTTAAATATGGGGAATCTTAACCATACAAAGATAAAAACAAATATAATCGTTGGATCAACATAATCGATCTAACGGTGAGATTAATTGGTAGTA